TTGTTTTTTTTTTTTTTTTTTTTTTTTTTTTTTTTGAGGTTTAGAGGTGGCCTTAATTAGGCTCTAATTATGTAATCTACGCTAAGCAATTATTTGCTCCAGAATAAATGGCTGGTAACTTCTGGACTGGTTTCCACATTGCTGATATTTTCTTGACGTGTCTATTGTTAGTTTACCAATCAGAGCGGGAGATCCTGAGTTCAAACTCCCGTAATTTTATTATTTATCCACATTTAAAATTGTCATCATATGTTGGGTTTTTAATATATCTCGGGCTTAAATATTAATGTGTTGGACTTTCCAATTAATTTACTCACACGATTGCCCATTGTCCAGCCCACATGTGAGGGAGAGTGTTAAAGTATAAAATTATTGTTGGCTCACCTCCTAACAACTTAAGCTTTTAAGATAAATTGGTAAACTAACATCTATGACTGTAATGCCTAAAGAAATTTGAGTTTTCACTGAAAATGTTCACCCCCCACTGCTAGCAATATTTTTATTAGTAAGCGGAAAGTATCTAAGAACATTGCATGTATTCTTTATGTAAATATTTGTCACACACTAGTTATTGCTATATAATGAAATAGCAATAATTAGTGTGATTGTACATAAAAAAATACGTGCAATGTTCTTAAACCCAAAAAAAAAAAAAAAAGAAAAGGTGACACGGAGTTGGATTCTGTTGCTGGGTATATATAAATTCAGGGACTTAATTAATGGAGACATTGCATAATAGAGGTGGTGTATCTGAGTTTGTATGTATTGGTGTATAACCCGAAGTTACTTATGGATTTTATTTTATTTTTTATTTTTTTGGCTTGGATGGTTACTTATGGAGCTTGCTACCACCAAATTAGTATTGAATTACAGGTGGTAAATATGGTGGTATACTGGTATTACTATTACTGGAATTGTATCTCACCTGATTTCAAAAAAAAAAAAAAAAAATGTTGGGAGGATATCTGCCCAAAAAAAAAAAATGTTGAGAGATTGTAATATTTATGAGAAGTTGAAAAGTTAAATGTTTAATATTATAAATCTAAAGGGAAAAATAAGTGCCTTATATTAAGGGTGATAATTTGTGTCACGTGTCGTGTTTTGATCGTTTTTTTAAAATTTACAGTCAATCCGAACACGACTTGTGACACGAAATTTACAGTCAACCCGTGTTACGTGTCGTGTTTTGATCCTTGGCTATGTTGCCGGCCCTACCTTATATGAACAAATGTGCAACAGTAAAATAATTGTTTGTAACAAGTGTATGCTCTAATGTTCACCATTAGACTTCACCCATGCAATTAAGCGTTTAGGACGCTTTTAAAGGTATCTTTTAGATTGTACTAGCAATGTGCGCTCGCGTTTGCGCGCATTGCACGCATTGCAGCAAGAGGTAATTTTATGCTTTAGAAAAAGTTGATAATTTTTATAAAATAGAAGTAAATTATTTGTGTGTATATATACATGAATATATAAGATATTGTTATATGAAGTTATTTACCATATATATATAAGATACTGTTGTCATATGGAGTTATTTACAATATATATAACTCTCTGTTCTTCTTTATTACTGTGGTCTTTTTATTTTTTTCAACTATAAAATATAAATTTTAAAAAATATTAATATTAATAATTGAGAAAATTAGAAATAATACGATTTAAAAATAGTTACGTTACCTAAATCTAGGGAAAATAAATAAGATGGAGAAAACAACTAAGGGCATTAATAACTAAAATACAAATAAAACACAAAACAAAAGAGATATAGGCTATTACCATTGATAAAAATGTATCGACAATATTTATTAATAAGGCCAGAAAGAAAATGTTTAACACTAACCATAGCAATAAAATCAAGGTAGTAGCAACAACAAAAATTAAAAAATTGTAGGTAAAAATCATTAATAATACCTCCAATGCTATAAATCATGCTTGAGGAACCAACTATGAACTGCCTAAACACGAACAGGAGTAAATGATGTAGGAAACTTTGAAAAAATGTAAATAATTAAGTAAGTAAATCAATAAATAAATAAGTAAAAAATAGATCAAAAAGCTGATACATGTAGATATAACAATATTTTTATACAATAATCGTGATATAAATTTGTGGCTGCCTACTAAAGGCAATTGCACAAAGAAAAGCACATTATATATATCACATACATTATACATTATATGTGGTAGAGACTGATTAAGTGGAGCAATATATAAAATTGTCTAAAAACTACCAGGTGAATTAAGAGGAAAAGGAAAAAGAAAAACTCAATATTAAAGAAACAGTAAACTGCATGATGGAAAAAATGGACCAAATAGATGATAGAAATAGATTAAACAACAGTAGAATGCACTCCATGGACAATGCTTGACAGAAAGGAACCAAAAAAAGAATGAGAAAGAAAAAATGAAAGAGGCAAAAGACTTTCGGGCTTTGCTACAAAACAATAAGGGAAATAGAAAGTGACAAGATTGAAAAACAAAGGAAATATAATGTCCCAATGATGGAAAAATAACGAACAGTCTTCAAGAAAATGAGGGGAAAAACTATGGGGTTGTTCTTTGAAGTGTAATTTGAGTGTAGTTTTTGAGTTGAATTTGAGTTATAACTTGAGTTGAAGTTAGAACTTGAATAAAGTTGAGTAAAATTAAATAAAGTTAAAACTTAAAAGAACGTGAACTTGAATAAAGTTAAAACTTGAGTTTTCTTTTTTTGAGTTTTTTGGACAAAAGAACATGCCCTATAAAATCAAGACATGATTTCCAAAATAACGTGAACACTTGGGTATGAAAAGACCAAAAACAGAAACAACAATACTAAAAAAAAAAAAAAGCCTACCACGAAAAATTGTAAAAGAAATGGACAATAAAAAGAAAGTGAGCAAGAAAGGAATTATGGAAAGAACAAAATAATAAATACGAATAAGGTAAAAAACCTAGAGTAAGCAAAAATAATAAAGAAAAAAGTACCTAACTGTTTTTACTGAAAAAACAGTGGATAAAATCAGAATCCAAATAAGAAAAATGTATTCATAGCAATCTTTGGACAAATTATATGAAGCTCAATACATCAAAATCAATCATGACCATCATTGCCACGTAGAAAAACTTACCAAAACTAAGATAGATAAAATAATCGTGGCTCAGATATAAGATATTCTCAACAATGTGTGATAAATATTTGTGGCTGCCTACTAAGGACAACTGCACAAAGCAAAGCATATTATATCTATCACACACATTATAGAACATTTATGACAAAGATTGATTAAGTGGATCAATACATGAAGTTGTCCAAAAACTACCAGGTGAATTACAAGGAAGAGGAGAAGAGAGGGGAAGAAAAAAAAAGATGCATGATGAAAATAATACAACAAATGGATAATAGACAATAACATACACTATATAGACAATGGTTGGCATAGAGAGGTAAAGAAAGAAAAGAAAAAGAAAAAATGAAAAAGGCAAAAGATTTTAGGACTTTGCTGAGAAATAGTAAAGGAAAGAAAGAATGAGACGATTGAAAAACAAAGGAAGTCTAATGTCCCAATGATGGAAAAATGACCAGCAACCTTCAAGAGAAGGACAAATGAAATAATAAAACAGCAAGGGGAAAACTATAAAATCAAGACATAATTCCCAATGGAAAGTGAACACTTGGGGCACGAAAAGACCAAAAACAGAAATAAAAATACTAAAACAACAATAAAGTCCATTACGAAAGAAAGTAAAAGGAGTGGACAATAAAAATAAAATGAGGGAGAAGATATCGGACAATCAAAAGAGTAAATAATAAGGTAAAAAATAATGAATACAAATAAGGTAAAGAACAAATGTAAAAAACCCAGAATAAATACAAATAAGAACAAAACAAATAAGAAAAATGTATTCACGGTAGTCTTTGGACAAATTATATAAAACTCAATACATCAAAATCAATCATGACCATCATTGTCACATAGAAAAACTTACCAAAACTAACTTAGGTAGATATATATATATATATATGTATGTATATATGCATGGCTCAGAAACAAATAAATAGGAGGTCAATGCATGATCATTATTGACTGAACAAATAAAATGAGAAATAAATACAAATAATAAAACATAAGGAACAAACATTAATATCGCTACAAGGAACCAATACATCCAATATGGGCAGTAAAAATTAAAGAGCTATGAATAAAGAATATTAACAATACCTGGATTGCAATAATTATTGCCTTATATGTCAGAAGAATAAATTGATGGAGTAGTAAATAATGGAGAGTGAGAAAGAGCAGTAAATGACTGAGAATGAGATAAAAGAGTAAAAACGTGGAATGCAAGGGAAAGGAACAGAGAACATGAAAAGAGATGGTAGAGATTGGTACCTTCTAAAGCAAAATAACCTGACAAAGTGAAATTCTTCGCAATAGGTAGGAAAGCCAATTAGGAATTAGGGTTAGGGATTTCCATTCAAACCCGAAATTGCCTAAAAAAACTTTCTAAATTTTGACTAAATTTAGTTCACATAATGTCTAAGAACATCTAAAATCTTGAATTGTCCAATGAATTCGACATCAAAAAATGATTTTTTTTTCAATGAAAAAGAATTTAGAGTAAGAAAAAAAGGGAAAAACCTTTAACTAACGAATCATTAAAATTGAAGTATCTTCGATCTTTGATAGAGGGACCAACAAAAGAGTGAGTAGTCACAAGTAAAACAACATCCAACAGAAGTAGTCAAAGGTACAAAGATAAAAGAACAAAGCAATAAATATAGGCAATGAAATGAGGCAGTAAGTGATGAAAGATAAAATAGGGCAGCGGAGCAATAGATGCAAGGAAGAGAGGTAGAAACACATATCACAAATCTATGCAGAATAGTAATAGTCATAAATAAGGAGTAAAAAGATAAGGATGAACACTAAATAGCCTCTATTAATCAGACACATAGCACCACATAGTCAGTTAACCGAGATAAAAAGACCAAAATTTTCTAATTATATAATAAAATAAATACAATTTCAGACACATAATAATTAAATACTAATGGTGCTAGAGATAGGAAAATCTAAAGAAAATTTTTTTCTCTAAATTTATTGGAAATTCCAGATAATATAAAAGCTGTCAAAAATTCCAGATAATAGAAAGAGAGAAAAATCAACAGCGCATTTAATATATCTATAACAAAAGCAGAACAAATCATCAACATAGGAATTTAGATGACCAATAGAAACAACCCAACTCATGAAGGCAATAAATTAAACAAAAAAAGAAGAGACGTGTGGTTCATGGATTAAAATCACGTGATTAGAACCATTTTCGATTTACTTTTATTTTTTATGAGAGAAAATACTGTAGTGAATCATGAACCATGATTCAAATCATGGTCTAAATCCTCTAACCAAATGTCCTGTAAGAATCACCGATATACGGCATCAAACGAACCAACGAAAAATCCACTCATGCAAATAAAATCCCTGCACAAACAAATTCATCAAAGAAAAAGGTCAAGTATCCGAAACAAATTTCAATAAAATAACACGCATTACTAAAAAAAATCAAAAACCAGAACAAAAAAACGTAAATGAAACAAATGAAAAAGCAAGAAAAAAAATCAGAGACGCACGAACGAAGAACAGAGAAAAAATCAAACATAAAACTCAAATCAAAACAGGAAAAGAGCCCCAAAAAAACCCCAAATCTGCCCCCAAACCCCACTAAAGGAACGAAGATATTGAGGCCACAGAAAGAGAAGAAGCAGATCAACAGCTAAACAGGAAGGGGAAAAAAACACCAAAATAATGAAGGACGCAGAAACTGAGAAAGAAAGCAACAGTAGGGAATCGAATAAGGAAGAAAAATTAGGGTTGCACCGGTTGCAAAGTTACCAAAACCAAGGAAGAAAGCAAATGAAGGGGGCGGAGAAAATGGGAAGATGGAGGAGGAAAGAAAAATTAGGGCTCCACCGGGAGGCCTTTGTAAAAATAACCTAATAGAAAAGTTTTATTCATAAAATAACAATTCAAAAATTTTTATTTGCAAAATGAATTTCTAAGAAAAAAGAAAAACGAAAAAAAAAAAACTCAAAACTCCCTAATCAATTTTCATGTTTTCATGGCCAAACATGTGAGCCCGCCGCCCATCCCCACCGGAGATCCCGCCGACCATCCCTATCCCCACCCGCGACCCATTGCACCTAAGCAAACCCAGCCAAGACCCATTGCGCCGCCCACTTCGAGAACCCCAGCCAATCGCGCCACCCACTTCCGTGCAGTTTCTCCTCATCTCCGACGGCGTTAGCAAAAACTTGAAGAAAACCGAACTCCTGGTTAATCTGGTGAGGGCTTTGGAGCTTTTCCTTGAAGAATCCGAGTGCTTCGGAGCAGTGCTTAAGCTGATCCGGCGTGAGCGCCAATCGCGGTGGGGAATCCGGCGAGAAATTAGGAGCGGCCAAAGGTTTGGCGGAGGCGGCGGCCATGGCGGAGGTGGATCTTCTCTGGAAATAAATAAAATTAAAATTAAAAAGTCATTTACCTAATTTTACTTTTTCACTTGGTTATTTTAGCCAAATTCTCCTCCAGCAGCTGCAAAATGGGGGTGGGTGGCAAAACGGGAAAAGCAACCCATCAGAGACGCGCTAAAAGACCAAATTGCCTATGCACCAGACGAATAAGAGAACAGTAAATGAAGGACAAATTCGTCACTCCACTGTAGAATGAACAGTGAAATGGATCTGCATGAACAGTACCCCCGAGCTCTCCTTTAAGCCTCGTTCACTTCGCGGATTTAAGTTTTCAATTCGAGCTGAAACGTGATATTTTATGAGAGCTTTTCATTGTAACAGAAAAATTTAGATGTGACATTTTCTGAGAACTTTTTACTATAGAAACTTAAAACTGAAAACTCGAATCGGTGAAATGAATAAGACCTTTAAGTATATTTATAATGTTTAGGCCTTCTATATAAACATGTGCGCACTAATAGTCAAAACTTAAGCAAAGTTTTATATGGATTAACAAATACTTACCACGTTTTAAAAGATACATATTTATGGTGAAGTAGAATATGATATCGCGATAAACAACTTATAATAAAGAATAGAATACGATATCGTGGTAAAAAATTTGTCCTACTATTGTAAATTTTCCATATTTTATAAGGTTGAGGTCTAAATTATAAAAATAGAAAAAATAAGAAATAAATATCAAACCACAAAAATTCAACTCTAAGGCTAAAAAAAACCTTAATAATGCCTTACAATAATAAAAATAAAATATAAAATATCAAACCACTAAATTTCAAAAAAATTCAACGTAGAGGTGCGTTTGGAGTGAAGATTCATGCTATGGTTTACATCATGATTCGTAGCTCGCTATAATATTTTTTCTCATAAAAAATACATGTAAACCGATAATGGTTCTGAATTATGATTCTAAATTCATGAATCATACGTCAATAAGTTATACGACAATAACTCTATAATACAATACGTATAAACAGTGGCAGAGCCACTTAAAGATGAGCGGGAGCAGTTGCCCCCACTCAAATTTTTTTTTAAAAATATTATCTTTAAAAATTTTAAAATTTTATACTTAAACTCACTGAAATAATATATATTCTTACTAAAATAAATATATTTTATTATATAAGATAATTTATTAAAAAAATTTAACAGCCCGTGCCCTATTAAAGTGAAAGACCGCCTCTACTGTGTATAAGTGAACATAAGATGAGAATACCTCAGAATATCTACCATTTATACACGTGAATTCACCCAGAAAAAAGATATTTACACACGTGTGTTACTCAAGCTTGAAGCATCGGCTCTACGCTATAAATACACCTTTACAAGCGTAACGATGTTATTCTCTTGTTCTTCTCTGCTCTTTTCGGCTCTGACGGCTCTCATTCTCTGCCAAATCGAAGAAGAAAAGATTTTGTTTCGAAAAGTAATGGATTCAGACCCCCCGAAAAAAGAGGAACGCATAATTGACAGCGGAGATTCCCCTAAAACTCCGCGCAGGGTATGAACCAGAGCTCGGATCTGTTTTTCTTTTTTCCTAATCTTCTATTCGTTTTGGGTTTTCTGGGTATTTAGTAGTTTTGATTCTGAACCTGGAAAAAATTACTTTTACATAAAATTTATAGCAAAAAAAGAGGAAGCGTATTTAGTGGTTTTAAGTTTGGAACCGGAAAACAATAATACATAAGTTTCTAGATAAAAGAAAGGGATTTGTTTTTTCTTTGTCTCACTTGGATTGTGGGTCTTGGTTATTTCTCTCACTTGGGTCGTTTGTGTTGATTAGAGCTGAAAGATGCTTTAAATTTATAAACACTTGTTAATAAATAAATGTTTTTTTTTTAAATTGGATTATATTACTTTGCATGAGACTGTGATAGCATTGAATTTACATTCTGAATGTTAAAAAAGTATTTGTTTCTAGTTCTATATGAAACCGAGTCTGTTAATCTGTTCTTGTTCTTGTTAATGTTGATGACAAAAACTAGATCTGACAGATTCTGTTGATATAAGAATAGTTTGTCTTTGTTCAATGTTATCATGTGTATGATTTGAGCTAACCACTGATAATTCTATAACTATTAAAGATGATTACTCGATTAATTTGCGTGACTTGTTGCAAAAAATTTTTGGGTTCTGATGGCTTCTCAAAGTCTACGGTTTTCTCTTCTTGGTCGTTTGATTTTTTGTTCCTATTGCATTTTGCTTTTTGACTGATCAGAAGGTAAAAACATGTTCAACGAAAAAGTAAAGAGGTGGCTCAAGCTTCCTCTCCCTTGATCCAAAACTATATATGATATTGCATAACTGTTATCCTTCAAATATGGCATTCACTTTTCTAGGCAAAGAAACAAATATATATATATATATATATATATATATATATATATATACACGTACAAAGTTGTCAAATGTTTGTGATTCATGGAGTTGTATACTGACTCCATTCATGCTTTTCATTAATTCTCGCAGCTGAGAGGACGGCAGCAGACTTTGGAGAGTTCCGTAGATGTATTTGCTGCGCAGTGTGATAAATGCCAGAAATGGAGGGTTATTAGCACACAAGAAGAGTTTGAGGATATCAGAAGTAAAATAAGCAAGGAGCCATTTTACTGCGACCGAAAACCGGGTGTTTCTTGTGAAGATCCTGCCGACCTCAACTTTGACTCTACAAGAACATGGGTCATCGACAGGCCTGACCTCCCGAAGACCCCGGAAGGCTTCAAGAGAACTTTAGTGCTTAGAAAAGATTACTCCAAAATGGATGTTTATTACATCACTCCTTTGGGGAAGAAAGTGAGAACTCCCAATGAAATAGCCGAGTTTCTGAAGAAATACCCACAATACACAAATTTTAGTCCTGACGACTTCAGATTCACGACCCCAAAGATCGTGGAAGAGACAATTCCTCCAAATGTTCTTGTCGCCAAGAGGTGCAACTCTACTGCTAGTAGTAGCAAAAAGAAGATAAAGAAATTGCCGGAGCTGGATGAGAAAGTGACTGGTACTCGGGGTGACTCCTGAGCCCAAGCTGTTGAATGCAGAATGAAGAACTGTATTTAAGGGCAGGTTTTTACTTTGTTTGGAGGATCAATTTTGGTATCCAAGACAGCCATGGGGGCGGATGACGTTTTTCCTCCTTGTAATGTTCTTAAAAGCATTTATTTCTACTTTGCTTAGTTTGCTTTTCTCAGTACTAACCAGTTTGTGTCAGATGTTTGAATTAGCGACATTCTATTGGAATACCAGAATTTCTTTACACTGTTTATTATTTCTTCTCTTCTCACAATTTTGTATCCGTGCACAGACGCCATACCCATAAAACTCTTGATTATAAATGTTCTCCAAACAGTTACTCAAGTAGTAAAAAATGAAAGTGAAAAAAAAAAGCTTTTGAATATGTTAGCAAGGCGAATGAGACCTAATTAGTAGTTAGTTTCATCAATTCAGCCTTAAAAGTTAGTTTCATCAATACAGCCTTAAAATTAAAGAACTTTGTGCGGAGATTTGCAGCCAGAACTTTATACCGTCACAACTTTTTCCTATTGATGCTCAGAAGATCAATACAAATGTACTATGTAAGCTGAAGTAACTATACACAAAACATTGGCAAAAAAAAAGTAAAGGAGAAGGTTTACATTTTCTATGGCTACCAACTCTAGATAAAATCAGCAATCTTATGAACATTTTAGAACAAGCCTGCAACATGGAAACCAGATATCGTCCAGGGATAGAATCTAATCTATCACTGCCAAATAGTATTCCGTGGATGTAAAATGGAGATGCGGTATATTTTTCTCCAATTGTATCTTGGTGTTAGTTGCTTCGGGTCACTAAAAATCAATACTCGTCGCTTGGTCGAACCTAGCATTAGAATACCGGAGCCCGTAGAAAGAAAAGTTGGCAGTGCTGATGGCACATGGGGTTAGGATTCTAGTCAATTTGAGTGTACTCGAGCAGCATGTGTGGGGACCTGTATATCTTCACCAAAGTCCAGTAAAGGACCTCTTCAACTCCAAGTTCACCCTCTGCTCTTGCCGCGTATATGTCCTCACAGATAGCAATCAACCTGCCACAGAGAAGTGATAAAGGTAATGTTACTTTTTCACTCCTAAGTTAATATGAGTTTACCACAAAACATGAAGAAGATGAGTACTCTCATATCCACTTTTCGATATTTTGTTGATACAAAAAAGATACGCAAGTGATGACACACTACTAGGCTTTTTTTTTTTTTTGTTGATGATGGAAAAACAACGAGCTCTCTTGTTGCAAAAGAGCCCCAAGATCGCCACTTATTATCGTGTTGACATTTGTAAAAGACCACCGTTACCAGGGTTTTCTTTTGAGGGTAAAATATTCATCACAAAAGTCCAGCATTTAAGTTTTTGGCTAAAGGCTAGGTGACTTGTGAACTCGAGTTTCATAGAGTATTGAGAACATGGACCGAGATAAATGATGCATCACCTATCACAAGAAGGAAGGTTCTCAAAGGGAATTCTCATCCGTAAGTCTGAGCATTGAAGCCTGATGAAGCGGCCTACTGCAAGAACAAAGGTTATGTAGAGACCCCAGATGCTGAACTTGCTAAGAGTATCGCCAAGAATACCAGCTGAAATAATATAGACAACGTGTTAAAAAGGAACAAAAAGCATTTAAGAAAAATAAGTACAACCAATGTTTGCAAACAATATGAGATGTTTTATGTATGCTTACTTGGTGGTGTTTCCTCAGATACTATCACCGCTATTGGTCCTGTCAAAGCTTCACAACCTTTAAAATTTGATGCATCAATATCATGGAAAGACCACCACTGATTGTTTGCTTGATTCATAACAAGGTTGCCAGTAACGGAAGGATCCTACAAAGTACTGTTGTATTAGTTCTTCAGAGTTGGATAGTTAAAGTCATTAATGTTGTTGCAGTTCCACACTAATGAGGTTACAATATCCAACATTATCAAGGAAATTTGTATAAATGATTTTCCCAAAACTAACAGTTTTCGGCACAAAAAAGAAAGAAAAGAAAAAAATCCTTGCAGTTTTTATCTAAGAGCATTAACACCATTCATACTTGTAACCATTACCAACCATTTAAGCAAACTTACACGACAGCAAACGATTGAGATATAGAACCCATACAAAAAGTTGAGAAAGACCATGGAAGGAGTAATGACATAAGGTGGGGTCTTTGAGGATACCCCTAAAAAAAGGTCTAAACACAACAACAGAGGGAGCAAATGAATAAAGAAATCAGGTAATGCATCACATACTTCTAATTGTCTGATCTCACCAGAACCGGTGACACGAAAGCATCTTGGATAAGCATTTTTTATCTTAAAGCTCTTCGTAGAGCCATTAAGAACCTTTTGAACATCTGCTCGTTCTGGAAGATCCTGAGGATCGACATTCCAGACATTTTTCACCACTTCCTTGCCTTTTGGTCTGTCCCTAAAGAGTACCCAAGTGAAAGAAATGTCCATTGTTACATCCGAGTCAAGGGACTGAATGAATCTGGTCTGAACCGGATCAGGGACGAGCCATAGAGTATTAGATTCAGCTTGGCAGCATATTAACTGGACATCATTCTTGTTATATGTATCCAAAGAGACAATGGGAGCAAGATTAATATCAGAACCAAGATCATCCCACGAAAGCTTTTCACAGAGGGTGGTTTGGTACAGCGTCAACTTTCCAATCACAGTCTTAATATCAACCTGAACAGTAGCATCTTTGATGGGATTTGCAATGTTTGTTGGGTTACCACTGCTATACATCTGCGTGGCGAGAAATCAAAGGTTCAGTGTACACATAACGGTCAAGCCCGAGTTTCTTCACATAGAAAATATTATGCTGGAGGCTAAACAAAAATTTCTGACACGCAAGAAATTAACCACACTAGGTCAATTGCTACATAAGAAATTAGCTGCATCCTAATGTCATAAATTTGACAAGGACATCAACAAGACAAGTAACATTTTGCAGTCAGTAGTACATATTTAGGAATTACTAACCAGCATGGGAGCCCAGATAACACAGATTAAGATGAAAAACAAACATATGCCATTGCAACACTTGGTCATTTTAGTTTGTTTTTCTCCTTGTTTGTGCTGCGCTTTATTCAAGACTGTATCGCATTTGACCAGGTACAAGCTTGCATATATGTCCTCCAGCTACGAAAGCAACATACATACAGTAAGCACATAATGGTCCTAAAGAACTGTAATACCTATTACCAATAGCTAAATAGAAAGTACCCACAGGAAATCATAAGGAAGGTGCATAAACAATGAACGGGTTATTAAAATCCATGAATGGCCTCACAAAATAAGCCATAGTACATAACTGCTGCCTAATAAAATTAAATATTACGATTCTACTGGCTGCAGAACAACATACAAGTCAATCAGAATACAAGTACCACGTTACAAATGCCAAGCACAGCAAAAACTAATGCACTTCTTCATATGAAGACACCATTTGCATTCATAACATGATTTTTTTTCCCAGCAAGTTGAGGAAAATATCAAGATGAACTAGATCTAATATCAGATCTCATATTCATTTTGTTAGATTTCAAAGAATTTGATAAACTTGCAAGTGTGTAGCCAAGAAGAGAAGCAAAAAGAAAAAAAAAAAAAGAAAAAAGAGAGAAACAAAGGAAAACACGACCATAGATGGTTCTTGTAGCCAACTTATAATTAACTCTGGAAGGAAAAAGAATTATGATTATATCAGCCAATACGTAAAACAGAACCAGAATACCCTTATACCAGGAAGGTGTCCAGTTTCAGCAATCATGTAATGTTATAACAAAGTTATCCAACAAAAAGAATTATTATGTTGGTTTAGTACGCTATAAGAGGCAACACTTAATTTTCTATTATCAATCTCAAATCAACACTGTACAATTAACCATCACAAGAATGCAAAAATAATAAAAAAAATTCCTAAGTACTTACCTTTAGCCAATCATACATAATCAAGGAAGTTGTTGTGCAGGACCAGTCAAGTACACACCGCAGTTCATAGAGGAATGGCAGAGCACGATATAGCCGATAACATAAGTAATTGACACGTGAAGTTTCACTTGTCAAAAACTGCCGGTACAAGGTGGTTTTATGAGGAATTCCATATCGGATTTGTATAGCCTGTAATGCAAGAGAAACAGCTTTTGCAAGAAATATAACACGGAGTGCTAGTACTCCAACATGTTGTTGTGAAGGCTCCATGTGCCAAGCATACTCTGTAACTGCATATGTGAAAAGGATAAGGTTGAAAAGGTAGAAAATAACTTTTCCAGTGGCAAATGAACAGAGGTAGATTATCCGATCGAGCACAATCAAGAAAAAGATAACCTGCATGGAAAAAGAATTCGATGAAAATTAGACAATTTGCATACAACAATTCCATTTGGTGTGAGAGGTGCTGAAGCCACATCGCACGGACTATTGTATGGTAGTGACGTTTATCACTACAATGTTACAGTGTAAGTGAGCCAAAGAGCCAAAGAGATATAGTGTTGCAAAGCAACAAGCATGTATCGCATTCCTTATGTATTTATTGGTAAAGAACGTCATCAAAGAAAGAAAAGGAGTAAAACTAACCATTAGGATAAACACAAACTCTTTAGGAAACTGATCTTCAAGCTGATACACATCAAGAAATTCACTCTTATTTTTAATAACAGATTGGTAGAAAATGGCGACTAAAAAGAATACAGCCAAATCTGCACCAAATATATAGGCATACAGATCGATTTCTCTTCTGCCTCCCCCAATTACAGAGACTACAGAATATGGAAACCCCATTTCTTTGAAAAGCTCAGTTCTCTGTGCTTCAAGAATCTCTTTCGCTACATCAGCTGCTGGAGTAAGTGACTTGTACCATTCTGCTGACGAACAGTTTGTCAAAGGCGAGGCATATACCACTTCAAAAACAACCAACGCCAAGTTTGAATTTTCTTGACTTCTTTCAATGCTTTGAACATGGACCCTACTAGCGAAAGGGCAAAGATGAGGGTTCACTTCCTTGCATCTCTCGTCATGGACAGTTCTAAGTGCTTGATTAATTCCGGATTCAATCCTTTCAGGCTGAATTCCATCCTCTGGCCATGAGTGCACATCCATAGACACCTGAATAAAGTAAGGAGGGGTTTCTGCACCGCGCGTCAGTGATTCCCAGTACCTAAACAAGCTCCTGATTATCAATTTTGCCGTATTTCTTATGAAGTTCATGAACTCCAGTACTCTGTCACTCCAATCATAAGTAACAAGAACCTCTTTTCCAATAAAAGCACTCCGCTTACGGAACTTGAAGTCCGTAGAAGACATCCATTCTCCATCTTTCACAGTGATAGAACTCTGTATCAGAGTAAACAAGTAGACAAGGAAGAGGGGCAATGAACTGATAACAAAGGATGACATGGTTTTATGCGTAGGAAATCCCCACTCACGAAGAAGTTGCGGATCAAGCCTAAACCCACAGTGCTGGATGATAATCTGGTACAAGTACAGAAGCCAAATATAAACTTCTGTGTATATTAGCATGATTATCCAGAAGATATAATTGGGACCAGTATTCACACATAGTGCATACAAGAAGAGAGCTCCAAGATAAACCATAGAAAGTAAACTGAAGTTCCAGAGGAAGACAAGTACAAAGCAACAATAACACACAATGTCATTATTTGATTGCATTTGGGACCAAATGTGACGAAAGATCCTTCCTAATTGAAGACTTGTGGCATCAGAACTTGTATCAGATTGCAGGGAAGATGAACGGCCCAAAGACGTGTATTTTGTTTTTTGGCTCTCCATCTCATCATATATTTTATCCTCAGAAGATGAATGGTCATTCAAATCAGATTCTTCCGGAGCAATATTCAAGAAACTTGCAAGGTTATTAACTGCCTGATTTCCAATTGATTGTACCTGTGAAACACCATCACCCAAAAGTTGCACTGCAGATTTCAATGGGTTTTCTTTTACTTGGCCTTTACCTTTGTTTTTGTGCTCTAAGTCCAAAAGTGGCTTATCAGCAAGATCTGCTTCAACTTCAGTGATCTCACAATGAAGAGACTCCATTCGCTTCGTGGACTCTGTTTCTGTCGAAATTTCGGTGTTCACTGCAGCAGGAGATTCATGAAATTCAAAAGGAAATACTAAATCTACTTCAATTGTCCGCTTCTGGTTCAATATAATTCCTTCTCTCTGAGGGGTTTCTGCATCAGTGTTAGAAGCAAGAGAAGTACTCCTCCTCCTTAGGCCTTCACTACGAGGAGAGGTGCAACCATAATTCGCAGCTGGGACTGAGTTAATGTTGTCAAGTTGGACTTGCAGGTTCCACATCTCTGATTTCATCTTTTCCACTTGCAGGTTACGCTGGCGTTTCTTCTCCTCAGATTCACGGATAAGTTGCAATTGTGCAGTTTTCCAAGCTGCTTTCTTTTCTTGCTCATGCACAATGGCACCAATTTGCTCTGCTTCAAGATAACGAGACACATAATCAAACTCTTGAGAAGAGAACATATATGACTGAAGTGATACCAGCATAAATATAACAATTTCAACAAGAGCTGATCTTGCAGTAATTCGAAACCCATAATCATACTTGTAAAATCCAATCATCTCATATATATAATCTAGAGTCTCACACTTTCCAGAACTGAATTCCCCCACAAATGGAGACTGATATGCAAGAGAGAGAACAATTACAGTAAAGTTGTATATGCGCAAGAACCTGAATATCTTGTTCCTCTTCTTTAATATTTCAAGCCTCAGTCGAAAGAAAATCAGAGCAAAAGCAAGATAACCAAGGTGCAGAATATCATACTCGAGCGTTCCAGTAATTAAGATCAAAATAAGAACAAGGTCTAACAAATGACAATACAAGTAAAGCCTGAGGTAGTCAAGGAAGGTCCACATGCTCTTAGTTTCGAAAGATAGATCTCTCCAGACAAATGTATTTTTGCGCTGAGACAACATCTGCCGATAAGTTGATGATCCTGAGAGGCTGGATACATGATCAGCATGGAATTTGAAACAAGCAAGCATGAAAATGATGAAATAGCTGATCAAGATTCGGGGATCATCAATGATAAGTCCTGCAAAAAAGGGTGGTACAGTGTTAAGCTCGGTGGCATGAACATGAAAAAGGCTAATAAATCTGTATCAAACAATATAAGATCAAATTAAGTATGAAAAAAGATAATGGCTCTGAGTTGATGATAGAAGATCCATTCATGCCTTGTTCTTTTCACAGTTTGAATCAGAATTCAACTTTTTTGTTATAGTGTTTTCTCTCATAAAATTTGAATTTTAGTTCAAGTTTTCTACTCAAACCCGCAAAAATAACAGGGCCCCAACATTCTTCATAATCAACAACAGATGCGCATTCCTCTGACAAAATTAATTCAAAGCAACCTGTAAATCAAGCACCTAATAAAAGCAAATGGGCCTTTTAAGGGCTGTCTCAAAATTTCACAACTCCAACAGAATTTTTATCAATTGAAAGTATAAGAATACATGAGCGAGTTAGATTGCCAAAGTAACATCAGTAATTGAATATTACCTAGCCAACAGTTCTTGCAGTAGCTGAAGTGTTGGTGTGAAATTCTCCAGCAGTCATGGCACTGTACATCACTCCCAGTTGGTTGATTTGAAGGCCACATAGTCTTCCAAATGGCAAAGTATTCAAGGATAAGAATTGAAGCAAGCAAAAAGACAACTACAGGCCATAATTTATGTATAACCCTCCTATCCAAAAGCACACACGCCACAAGCAATGCAATGTACAGCATAGAAAAGGCATTCAACAAAGCAAAGCTCGCAAGAAGCAATGCAATCATGTTTATCTCAAGACCAAAGAGGTTAAACATGTTCTCCATCCAGAATTTCAAATAGATTTTCAAGAGAGTCTTCTGTGTTTCAAATCTTTCCTTTCTCAAGGCAACTATTCGCTTCTTGTTCCACTTGTGACTTTCCTTTGTGCTTCCCCAAATATATCCAAATGAATATCTTCTACTGCCGCTACCTTCAGAGTCTCTTGCTTTAGCAGACAAATTATTATCTGATTGAGACCGACCAGGGGACAAAAATGACGAATTGCTTGTCATTTGAACTCGTTTTGCGGAGTATCCTCCAGAATTTGATGACGGTATATTTTCCTCGCCAGAAGTAGAAACAACATTGACATCATCCTCTGTTGATACAAACAATGGACAAGGGTCTCCCCACTTCCCTTTATTTACAAGAATACTAGGCATGTGATCCAACCAACGAAAAACATTATAATGAAGGGTACATGCTGCAACAACCAGCACTTTACCTCTCAAGCCTGATTCTATCCCCCAAAAACCATGATTAAATACACGGAAACCCAAAAAAAGAGACAAATTAGAGTGCTTTTGTCCAGGGAACATCCCAGCCTGCTTACCCCACATCTGAAAAAGATATTCAGCTGTTACTAGAAATCCTGTGTAAACCAAGAATGATTTGGATGGAACGTGTGAAGTTTTAGGCAAAGTTAAACAAATGACAAGGCCAAGCAGATATAGAAAGCCAAACGCACTAATTGGAGATAAAGATGCATAGAATACTGCAACAAACAAGATCTTGTGGCTGTGCCAAATTAGGAACCTTCTTATAAAACCGAGTATTCCAAATTCTGACATGTCAGGATTGTCAGACCTGTTATACTTGCTCTGTCTCCTTTCATAGCTGTAAAGTTGCATGACAATCAAGACTGCAAGAGACTCCCAAATATTTTCCAAAGATGAAACTTCTGGGTTATAGCCTAGATAGAAATAAAGGTCTATAAACCCGGACAACCACAACTCAAAGCTGGGGAAGCTGCTCAAGCTATAAATGAAGATAAACACCATGATTGCATATGCTTTTAATGGGAACCAAAGGCGTCTTTTTGTTCTCTCAACAAGTTGTCTTCCAATGATCCAAACAAGAAGGAGGAATACATAGCCAAATGATACATAATTAGGCCTAACCAGGTATACTGTAAAAAGGATAGTCAGAAAGGCAATGTAGGTCCCAAATGATCGGTACACAGACAAAAACTTCTGCCCAATTGCACTGAGGAATGATGCTATTCTTCTTTCTGTAAGGAAAAAAATTTTAATGTTAGTTATAAAAAAATGATTGTACCAACAAAAAAGAAAAACATAGACTATTTAGGAAACAAATAAAGCATCCATCAGGGAAAAAATTGATAGTGCTACGAAGAACAGTTTGGAAAACTAAACAGTTTTTTAGCTCTAAATGTGACAAGTTTAGATGCAGCTGAAAAAAAAAAAACCTAGGTATTAAATGCTGGAAATTACAATTCCCTCATCCTCAAGGAATAAGTCCGGTCACAACATATACAGAAGATTGCATTAGTCTGACAGATGGCCCAAAAATACATCCTATTTCACTGATAATAAGAATTATCCTCCAAGAATCCACAAGGCAAAAGCTTCATATAATGTGGCTAGGCTTGCAGTCATACATTGAGTGTCTTTAACAGAATTCTCATTCATACTCGTACGATTTTATGTATTCAAATAGTTATATAAAGAGAGTATGTGAAATGGATCAGCTGGAATTAAGCTCTCTCGAATTCCACAAATTTCCTACATTTTACATACAAATTTTCACACAAGTTTAATTGAAAAATTGAAGCAACCTATAAAATTTCATTCTAAAAGGCACATTAAACCATTAATGAAACTATACCATAAGAACGATTATCACGACTGTACGTGGTGGATGATGAGGAATATACTGACAACAATACAGATTTGTTCAAGCCAGCTTTCAAAATACTGAATCCAATAGGAGGGCTAGGGGTATGCTGCACAATTGCTGAGAAAGAAAAGAGCATATCGAAACCATGATTGTAAATTGCACAAAAGCAACCAAGTAACGCCACTTCCAAGAAATCCCAGGAGCTTTCAGGTTTGAGAAGACCTGCAGCAATTCAATTAGAAAAAGTCTGAACATTGGTTCAAAAAAAGCTATCGTAAGAAAATTTAACACAACTTTCTATAGGAAGTTCGTACCTAACTGTGAGAGGACCTCCATACTCAAAGAGCCTTTTCGCTCCAAATTATTGGAGATCAAATTAATCTGAAGAATGTATAACAGCGCAAAGTGAGCCTCACATAGAAGAATCAATGATTGGCGAATCTTTCTGTTGATGTTGTGGCTCAAAAGATATATCAAGAAGAATATCACTGAAACGCAGGTCAGAACATAGAAGTAATTAGCAAACTGCCATAAACCTGAAACATACTATAAGTTTCAAAATGACTTTTATAATATAAAAATAAAGGAAGAGCAGAGAGGACTGTCCCTAGATATAGTAACAGCAAAGTTAAGGTAATAACAGTTTGGCAGAAACGTACAATATACAGCATGGATAAAACCAGGTTTCATGGAAATGAGGAATATTAGTGCCAGCATAATAGCCCGAGAGCTTTTTCGAAGTCCCCATGCGATTGTGGCCACAATCAATACCTTGGTCTCTTCCTGCCCTGTTATTTCGTGGCACACACAAAAAATGTTACATTGGTACAAGAGAAGTAGACACTAATCACCCAATATCTAAAACATAAATCCATAAGTGCACACCATTGTTCCCCTTTTAGTATAATGTTGTGGATAGGAATACAGTAATAAATTTGAAATAATGAAATTGAAGCTATACCAGGGTTAATAAAGGTGTTGAAGACTTGAATGCCTAGCCATGACTTTGACCATAACATAAATGATAGATGGTGAAAAAAATTTGATATTCAAAGTACCCATAAAATAACAATAACAATTATTAAGTCCATGCAAGACATACTTTTCCCCAAGCACAAATATAGCGCAACATATAGCTGTAAATTATTTAACCAATTGATTTGCTTCCGAGTTCCAATTTCCATTACCTCTTACGCCATCGTTGTCATTTGAAGATTGTCTGTCCTCATCAGACAAGTAGAGAAAAACTGAGTTGTTCACAAGATTACCCAGGGCAACTAATATTCCAAGACAAAATTGTGCAAGCAAGAAGAATCCAGGAATGGAATAGTGCCACAACCCGACCATTTCCCATATCTCCATGTCCTGCACATATATTAGACAGGCTCAGTTTTGAGCATTTAATTATTAACAATAAACAAACCGGAACTTCATCCCAGAAGAGAGGCTACCTTCCCAAGTTTCAAATTCAAAAAAGTGAATGCTACATTGAAAATATATGTGCTGACAGCCCATAGGAGAATGAAGACTAGAAGCAAGCCGTTCAACCGATGCAAACGGAACAACGAAGGGAAGGTGTATAAGATGTAGCCAACGTATGCAAGTAACCCAAAAGCGCACACACTTGCGAAATGGAAACTCCAAAAGGAAAGGGCAAATAAGGACACCTGACAAATTCACCACCAAGAAGTTTCATTTAACTAATAGATCAAAAAGCAAATAAAACTTGCATCAACATAAGCTACATAATAATTAAAAGCAAATAATAGTTCATTCTCTTACAAGTTACAGAAATTAAAATATATCATCAAAATTAGACAAGGAGAATATTTATATATCATCAAATTTCAAAAGAGACATGCAAAGGCCACTTTGAGGCTCAAATTTCACGATCACTATGAAAGGTCTTTGCTCAAAAGTAATAGAGATGACTTCAGAAAGCAAACAGCAAGACATTTTTTTGACAAGAAACATAATGTTGCTTAGAGATATATACCGGGAAACCATACGTGAAAAAGTTGATGCTAAATGTCCGAAAAACTGCTCCTCTCAATAAAACATTGGTATGCCTCCCACCAGATCTGCAGATTATTAAACAATTAGTAAACTTGTCAACAACAAAAGATTTATCAATGGAGTATTCTCAAACTGAGTGAGTCAAAGGGCAAGCAAAACCCTTCCCAGCCCCCAAAAGAGGGAGAGAGCAAGCAGATCCACATTAAACGAACAACATCAATTCAGAAGACATGATAATCACACTGAGAAAGGAAAAAAAGTAAAGAATCTTGTTTAGAAAATAAAACTTATGCAGGTAAGAGATCAGATGAAATCTAAGCATACATACTAGGCACGATCTAGAGAAAACAAAAGGAAAAGGAAACTCTTTAAACACCTTCAATTAGCTTCATGTGATAAAATTTGAAAACATCGAGGAGAATAAAAGGACTTGACACTAGTAAGCCACTGACTTTTGCTTAGAGTTCTTGTTAACAAAACTCTTTTCGTTACATAAAAGCCTCAGAAATAAGGCTAGATAAGAAATATCAGAGGTAAGCATATATAGTTCACTTATGAGAAACTGTATTCCGAGGTGGAGAAGCACTGTACTAGAGACCTGTAGCATGAATTTAGGGAGAACGTTAAAATATTTCATGAGGAAAAAAAAAGAAAAAAAAAACATAGTTTAAAACATCTAAAATCTTCATATTGTCTGTTGCTCTCACACATAATATTACAGATAACAGATATAGAGGGAAGATCACAGAAGGAAGAGTTCTGAGGGTATCCTTTACTTCTTATTTTGAGTGTGTAAGAAAGGGAAAAAAGAAAAGAATGCCCTAACAAAGATCACTGGAAAGAGATGAGCATGATGATAACCCAAGAAAAATAGATATTTTAACTTCGAATATATTACCTATATTGACGAATAAAAAATGAATGCTTCGAAGGAAGAAGCTGCTCTGTCAAGTTACTTTCTCTCATTGACAGAATAAAATCCATTTCTTCCAAATCACATTTGACATAGGAGAGCTGCAGTAGGAGAAAAAAGCGTCAACATTGGAAGCAAAGAAGGAAAAAAGCAGCCAGCAAATAACTCACATGATAAATTACCTTGGAGAAAATACACACAACCAACAAGTACACAAACACATATAGCCAAGAATCCATTTAATATCACATGCATTTATCATGATGCCCACTTTCCCAAGTACTGAACTGTGAATTGCAAATTATTTATCCCTTCCTTAGAAAGACTAAGGTAACCAGAAACCACACTTATTATGTTTGACATTGCTTCTAGGCACCCAAAAGGAACAGGAACATGTTCAACGCAACATCAACTTCCCGCCAAAGGGGAACTAGGAACCATGCTTCCTGCATGAGAATTCTTTTATTGAAAACCCACTTTTATTTTACATGCATCTATAACTTGTAGGCATATCTTACATCGTGATCTCTTGACTCTATAATGAGGACTAAGAACCAGCCAACAAACTAATAGTTAAAAGTTGCAAATAAATAACTACAAAGCCAGATGAACAATAGGTAAGATGACAACTAGAGCTATTTAACGAAAGACATACCATGATGTAGAAAATTACAAGAGAGATACTTGAGCAAATTTCAGTCCAATCGGAATTTGCCGTAATTTTGAATAAACCAATGAACTCAGCTACCCATTTTAACATGTTTGGAAACTTGATAGGTAGCTGATACACATAAAGCAGGACAATGTTGAACCCTGCATACAGTTGCAAAGGCCTCCACCACCTTCAAAAGTAGCCATGAATGAATCAAATGATTTAAAAAGAGAAAATGAAGAGAGAGGACAAAAATATTGGAAGCACGATAAAGATTCACAAAAAAATCACCTGAAAAGTCCTAGAAAATTGCTCGTCAAAGACCAATCTACAAGACCAACACAGCTTCCAATAAAAAATGGTAGGGAAACCCATGTGGGATGGCTAATTCCCACAATCAGCTGAATTAAAGGCAACAGCAAGCAGGAAGCAACCCTAAGATGAGAACCTTTTATATGGCAAAACAAAGACAATTCGAAGTCAAAATTTACATTTCTAACACATTATACTAAAATAGAAGTTATGGGCCTTATGGCCACCAGAATTTCAGCAAGGGTGTGTGTTATGGAGACGCCGCATGCAAACACACAAATGACATTTTTGCATAATTAGTCAATGACATAATAAGACCCACAGACTGAACCAAGCCTAAAAATTAACCCACTTCACACATCAACCCAAATAGATTGACAGAAAGCATTTGACAAAGAAATAACAGAGGAAGAATCAATTACTCATGCGAGAATTATAGTGGAAACGAACTACTCACAGACCTAAATGTTTAACTGCTGATAAGAAATGACCCCAACATGAATCACGCCATGATACCAAACCAAATTTATTTCCATGCAAATCAACTAAAGCAACAGCGGCAGCTGAAAGTTGCACAGCCAAGAAATAAATCATTGGAGATTTCCATGATTGGATTCTGCAGATGCAAACATAAAAGACAGAATAAATACAAGAATAAAATACTGAGAAACGTGAAAATAAAAAAAATTCAATAAAAAATCAATCCTCACATCATCAATCCAACCAGCTTCGCCCACCAAGCATCTGCGATACTCCATTTATTTCTCGTAATGGCCCATATAACAAGATGTATCACTTCAGAAAGAAGAACAAGTAAAGAGAAAATGATAACAGGCCATAATAATAATGACCTCCTTTGAAAGTGATATCCTGTACCAAAACCAACATAGGGTCAACAAGTAACCAAAAGAAAAAATTGACGCATGTAATAAAGCTAGAAGTGGCACCAGCAACACAGCTACGCTAGAAGAAAATTTCTGCAGTCTTACGAAAAGTAAAATGAGGAAAATTATCTGAGACAAGATTTCATAGACCTTCCCATTCACAAAACAGCAGCAAAGTATAAAAACATCCGCCCCATATTTCCTAAGGTTTTCCATTTCCTAGGTTAATCAAGCACTTTGACCCTCTTCCCCAAACTCCAGTTCAAGAAGAAAAAGGGCACGAAAACATTCAAAGAAACAGCACAAAAGTAAGAGTTTGAATATTAGTGTGGCCACAGACAAAAATATACTTAACTTGGCACTGCCTGCAGCTACAGACAAAACTTGATACGACCAAATTTAAGACCGGAAAGTCTGCAGGAATCAGCTTACCTAATTTCGGAGCATTGTATTGAATTAGAAGGAAAGCTATCAAATCAACAAGAGACATCAAGCTCCAGTTGATAAAAGCAGCTGCAAGGCAATAGAAATGAGGAAAAAAGTGTAGAATTCATTAGTTATTTCAATAAATTCAGAAGAAAATCAATTGATAACTGTTTTAATTATTGCCAATAATTCAAAATTAAATAAAGCAGTCAAAGGTAAACGTATTTCTAACATGCCAAAGCTTAAGAAAGTAACTAACCAAAAGGACAGAAAATATAACTAGTCTACAGACAAATAAAATATAAATGAACCAATCAGACGAAAGGTGTATAAATTTGAATGATACTTTTAAAAATATGGCGCTTGTCAAATTAATAAATTACAATGGTTCCTCTCACTCTCACAAGAAACCTTAAAATGACCATGAAAAAGTTGAATCTAAAGGAGATAAAAGGAAACTATAATATTCCATTACGTGCATATAAAATAAACAAATTCTAACTAAGCTAAAGTGTGATGAACAAATCAAAATGAACTAATTCAAACTTCTAGAGGACGAAAAATAGCAACTCAATTACACAGAGATTTGATTAACAGGGGCTAATCAATACTGGACTGTGTTACTTTCAAAATAATAATAATAATAATGCACTGTGTTTAAACTTCTTATGTTGCAACATCTTGTTAAACTACCATCCAAATTATAATACCTCTATCTAATAGAAAATAAAACTAAAATATGTAATAGTTTCAAGAACAATACCTGCTAAAAGAAGCAGCGGCAATACAAAGCCACCGAGAAAATTCCCCATGAGCAGCTCTTATTATCAGCACCACTTGAAATTCACCATCATCACGTCAAATACAATAATGGGGATCCGATTTTCTCTAAAACTACGAAAACCCATTTTCCGAAAACTCCAGAATTTCCCCAACTCTTCCCAATTTCAAAAATCAAAATAAAACGGTTGGAACGAATAAAACGTAAAACTCTACGATTTTTTTTTTTTTTTTTGAATAATAAAACTCTACGATTTGATTAGAAAAAGAATTTGCATCAAATCGTAGGAAAAAAAAATGGAGGTGTTAGAAAAGATCATCAAAATGAAAATGACACGGGAAAAGAAAAGCGAAAAGCTTTCTTTGAATTAAATGATGAACGAGTAAAACTTTAAATTTTTTGTTTGGCCAATGGGAAAATTTGGGCTTCTTCATTAAGGCTTATGACGGACGTTACCGTTTTACAGTTTCCAGCAGGACGGCAAAAACCATACAGCACGTTAGGTACAATTAGTTAGGTTTATTTTAGTCAAAATGTGACACCTGGATTTAATCTCAGATGTTACCTCGATAATAAAGCATTGTTCACTTCGTTAATTTGAGTTTGTAATTTGAGTTGAGATATAATTTTATGTGAAAATTTTTTATTGTAATAAAAAAGTTAGATGTGATTATTTTTAAGAACTTTTTACTGCAGCAAAACTTAAATTCTAAACTTGAATTGATAAAGTGAACGGAGATATACCCGGCTTTAACATTTTTCCTCCGTTTTCTTCTTCTCATACTCTTCATTAAAAAACGACAATAGCCTTGCCTTCTAATCTACAGAGTTTGGCTGGCGGACGTTATTTCTACGCTGTTTGTTGTTTTATTATTATTTTGTCGTTTCCATTTAATTACCGAAAAAGAAAAATTACGAAAATAATACTTACAATAAATTAATCGACTTTCTTTTCTTAATTTGTATTAAATCTGATGAAAAATCAACTTAAATTAAAAAAATAATATAAATTCACCATTGTTAAATAAAAAACACTGATGTTCTTAAAAAAACACCAAAAAATTCTCATAAACTATTAAATAATAAATTGGTTAGAAAAGAAGTAAACAACTAATGACTTGCCATGAAAGTACTAATAAGTACATGAAAGAAAAGTGACAACTATCAACCAAGGTGAAATCGACAATTATAAGTAGAAACGACCTCATAGAAAACAAGAAGGAAGATGGGAAAGGACAATAAAAAGGATATATATTAAAGATATAGATATATTCACAATGGAAATGACAGGGAGGGAAGAAATACAAATTATAAAAAATTACAAAAGTAATACAAAAAGGAAGACGACAACGAATTGGGAAAACAAGACGACAAAAACAGAAGAAAAGAAAAACGTCATCGGATGGAAACGACGTCAACGGCAATGAAGGGTAAACGACAACTTGCGGAACCGTTAGACAGTGATCACTTGGGTTCTCCACGTCACTAACATCTTGATCTATTATCTTATTTTTTTATTTTAATGGTTGTCTTTTTAATTAAATTTTAATATATTGTGATTTATTTAAGTATCTTTAATATTTTGTTCTTATTTACGTGGTCAGATTCTTAAATAGAAATGATACAGCATAAATAATTAATAGAAAGATAGTCACTAAAATAAAAAAATTAGAAAAACAAATTTAGACTCTTTTAATCTCAGTGTTTGTACACATTTTAAAAATGTCATTTTTTATTTAATATGTGTTTAAAATATCGTCACATTAATAATTGTACTTATAAAAAAATGACAATTTAGAAATTGGTACAAAAGTTGATAGAGTTTGTGATCCTAGTATTGTTCCAACTAATTAACATTCACAATATTTTACGGTTAATCCATTATGGTGGCATAACGGCAAAAAAAATGACTATTCCCATTGTTTTTAATGGGGCAGAACGTATGCTTTTAATTTTATTCTCTCTCTCTCTCTGCTCGCAAATGTTGTCTCATGTCTGAGCAGTGCCCTGTGCCCACTTGGCTGCCTCAAGTTTCTTATCCAACTCTCATCGTCTCTCTTTTCTTGAACTGCCGTTGGAAAAACTAAATCCAACCAGAAAATTAAAAATCTCACAACATGAACACCTTGCCCTCTACGTCTTTCTGCAACCACCAGATTCCAAGATTTCGTTTCGCCACCACCACCACTTCAAGACTCAGAAACTTCTCATCCCAAACTCTTCCCTTTCAGAGCAGAAGAAGTCTCAGACTCAGAGTATATGCCAATTCCAACGAAGTAGACACACAAGCTCTGGAAGAACCAAGCACAGAGGAACTAAAACAAGAACAACCCAAAGAAGCGAGCAAGCTCTCCAGTACTTCATCAGCTTCTGCCGCTCCACTTGACAAAGACCTTAAAAAGGTTGGTTCTCTTATTTGTATTCCTCTACTGGGTTAATCCTGAAATTTCAATTTTGTGCTTTTTTTTTTAGGAGTTTCAGACATTTTCTGTTATAAGAATAGATGGTAAAGTTACTTGGGTTTCCTGTGAATATGAGACTAGTAGTGTTTTTTATTGTTATATAATTATGTCTGATAATGGTATCCCAATAAGCATTCGATGAGTCGGGATTGCCCTGGTCAGTTGTATGAAGGTAGCATTTCACCAGCTTAAATTTTAACTAGATATGGTAGATCCCTAGCTAAGGGAGACTTCCTCTTGGAATGACTAATTGCACGACTAAGTCAAAAAGATGTAGAAAATTGGATAGTTGGGATCTTCAAGCAGGTTCGAATCCCGTCCCCGCCTAATCACTCTTTATGCATTAAATAAAGGTACTGGACAAGCTCTCGACCATATCGTCCCAGCGGAGCGATTAAAAGCGTCTTTGGCCTTTGAAGTAGTTAGTGCTCTAATTGAGAGAGCCGTGGATTATAAATGATGAGCGTAGCTTAATTTAGCTGATCTCACACCGAACCATAAATAAATATGTGCATAATTGTATTTCAAACACAGGTTGTTCAAAAAACTGCTGCAACGTTTGCACCAAGGGCTTCCACAGCTACCAAGAATCCTGCTGTACCTGGAACTACTTTATACACTGTTTTTGAAGTTCAAGGCTATGCTTCCCTGGTGTTAGGTGGTGTTTTGTCTTTTAATCTCTTATTCCCATCAAACGAACCAGACATCTGGAGACTAATGGGCATGTGGTCCATCTGGATGTTCAGTAAGTTATCTGACTTATTCAAGGACAAGTTTTTCATGAAACTGAAGAGCATGGTCAGTCTATTAGCACTTGAGGACGCCATGTTTTAATTTGTAAAGAGGGTATAAATTTTTGTACCAATTGAAGTAACAACCGACTTGAAAATTTAGATGATGAAGTGGAAAATGATGATGAAGTGGAAAATGCATAATGGATTGCATTGATGACTCTCAACTTTTTTGTGTTGTTGTCATTCTTTTATTAGTAAATGTTTTACAGATTGCTACGTCTATTAGTGATAGGAGATTGTATCTACGGATAAAACAATGATAACTCACTATCACATAAGTTGGTATAAAATATGAGGTTCCTAGTACTACTCATTTGCACAAGCTCTATGGTTGAAAATTTAGATGATGAAGTGGAAAATGCATAATGGATTGCATTGATGACTCTCAACTTTTTTGTGTTGTTGTCATTCTTTTATTAGTAGATGTTTTACAGATTACTACGTCTATTAGTGATAGGAGATTGTATCTACGGATAAAACAATGACAACTCACTATCACATAAGTTGGTATAAAATATGAGGTTCCTAGTACTACTCATTTGCACAAGCTCTATGGTTGCTTACAGTGTAGAACTGGATCTTACCAACTATTTAATCTTTCTTGTTTGCAGCGATTCCGTCATTACGAGCGCGAGATTGCTCGAAAAATGAGAAGGAGGCTCTTAACTATCTCTTCCTTATCATTCCACTGCTCAACATAATAATCCCATTCTTTGTGAAGTCCTTTGCCGTGGTTTGGTCCGCAGATACTGTAGCCTTCTTTGGAATGTATGCGTGGAAGGTATGCCAAGTAATATTACCTTTTTTTTCTTTTTTCGGTTGAAAGCTAAGTAATATTGCTTGACTCATGCGAAATTGGATTATAGATTTTCTGTCTTAATTGTGTGTGCTCGTTCTGATGAAGAATATGATGTTTCACAGCTCGGTTGGCTACAAAGAGAAGACTAGGAATCCAACATTAAGATCAAGAAACCCATAACTTTCCTACACACTGGCCTTACTGCCAAGGTGAAGCAAGTTTTGAATTTGTTTTAGCAATGAAGCATTGCTTGCCTTATACACAAGATAAAGATATATCCTAGTTCATGAAGATGAATGGCTGCATTCAAATTCCAGAGGAGTGGCTGCATGACGGGTGATGTGTATCAATCGTAAATTCCTAGGAAATCCAGTTGATTGCAAAATTAGGGGTTAATACACCTTGTTTCCAAAGGAACCGACTTTTGTGTCCCTTTATGTTTCTTTTCATATCTCTTTAATAATATTTTTTATCTTTATTGCTCAAGTTTTTAATTTATTTTGAAGGCAACAACGCAAAGTCAACATTCCTTTCTTAATTTTCAAGAAAAAGAAAAACTACTGCTTTTTCTATTATTATATTTATTACGAAGTAACTAGTTAAGAGAAGTGCATCAATTTGTGTCTATTATCAGACCTTGGATCCTTATATTAAGATACCAACGGATCTATCAATTTTGGCCCCGTTCACTTCACTGATTTGAGTTTGTAATTCGAGTTGAGATGTGATTTTATGTGAGAGCTTTTTACTGTAGCAAAAAAGTTAGATGTGGCTGTTTCTGAGAACTTTTTACTGTAGCAAAACTCGAATTTTAAACTTGAATCAGTAAAGTGAACGAGGCCTGATTTATTGTATCAAGTTTTTTATATTGAGTTTTCTGTGAACTTCATAGTTTATTGATTAATGAAATGTCTTTTGCATTAAAAAAATAAGAAACCAAAGTATAAAGTTGACAATAGTGATAATAACAAAGTTCAACCATATTTAAGTTTGCACCAACATTCATTTAAAACAATCCACATAAAGGAAACTGCAATTAAAAAAATTCAGAAGTGGAAAATTAGAAAGATTATTGGCATTCAAATTAACAAAGAATTTTTGAAATTTCACAAAAATAGACATATTTATATTGCATAATAATTGAAAATTTTATCTACAATGTTAGATCAAATGCAAAATATTATAAGTCTCAATGAATTTTAATAGTAAAATCAAACGGAAAAAAAAGGAGGTTATGTGTGGTCATGTAGTTTATATCTATTTTTTAACATAAATTTAAACAAAAAGACCCGTGTTATTCTTTTTTTTTATATGTTTTTAATAAAAATTACAATAAAAAAGATTAAGTGAAAACAATTTAAAATTTAAGGGATGAAATTTTTAAAGTTCAAAGGATAAATTGAGAATGACTTAAAATTTATGAGGCTGATAATAATTTTAAAAGTTTTAGTGTCAAATTGTCATAAGTCATAACGTTTAAGGTTTAAGGAGTAACCATGTCCCGTTCATTTCACTGATTCAAGTTTTATTGTAGTAAAAAATTCTTAGAAACAGTCACATCTAACTTTTTTATTATAATAAAAAGTTCTCACATAAAGTCACATATCAACTCGAATCAGCGAAATAAATGAGTTCAAAAATCAGCGAACTAAACGAGCCCCAAAGAAGAGTAGGCGGGGAATTCTAAGAATTCGATGAGGACTTTATTGGTATCACATAAAAGTCATAAATCCGAGCAGACGACTAGTAGTTTCTGGAATCTCCAGAAAATGTGTATTTCTCAAGCAAGGTAACACAAGAAAACCGCGAAAGAAGAAAACACCATTAGAGAGGAGTAAGTGAGAAGATGGCTGACCGTTTGCTGTTCCACTTGTTTATCCTTGGCTCTCTCTCATTCTCTGCAATAATAATCTCTGAAGCTTCCCAGTGTTCCATTAATGGTAAGATTTTCTTGTTTTACGCAAGATTTCTTGCTCTAATTTTTCATCTCTTTAATTTCTTCGTAATTTAAAGGGATGCAGTTGTTTGGTTCTTCACCAATTGAGCTCTCTTGTGCTATTTGTTTCTCGTGAATTTTTGCTTTAACTGGATTTCTCTATGAAACACTGCTTTCTCTAGAACTAGAAGCCTAGAACCACAGGCAGTACATTTTGGAATACTTTTTTTTTTTTGTTTCGGATTCTTGTTTATTTGATTTATAATATTCTCACTTTGTTCGGTTTTTTTGTTTTCATTCATTCGTGATTCTGGTTTAGTCTTATGGAAATTGAACTTACTTTTTATAGGCCCAAAAATTCTTTCACAAATTAATCCATCTTTTCCAGGTGCTTCTTGAGTTTTCCAAGCTGTTTATACAAATTTTGACCTCTAATTTACATTAATTAGTACAGGATTACCACTGGTCAGGAATATCAGTGAGATTCCACAGGATAACTATGGAAGAGGAGGTTTGTCCCATAGTACTGTAGCAGGTTCAGTCTTGCATGGGATGAAAGAGGTATACTGGACAAGAATTTATTCTTCTATTTTGATCTTTTGACTATAACAAGTGCTAAATGCATGGAGCCAAGAGTTTCTGGGATAACCCAATTATGTGGATAATAAACTTATGGTTCTAAGTTTTTATACTGAAAGTCGATTGTGATATTATGTGAATGTGATTTGCAATTCACTACTTTAAAGGGTATTTTTCATCCAGTTTATTCTTTTTCTCTTAGGCTTGCCATTTGCTTGGAATTTTCCCCAATGGACAATTTTTCCATTCTTTGAAAGTTGTACAACAGACAATTCCAGCATTGTAATGTAGAACATTGGGGTGTTTCACAGGTTGAAGTGTGGCTTCAAACATATGCTCCAGGATCCCGAACGCCAATCCATAGGCATTCCTGCGAAGAAGTGTTTGTTGTCCTGAAGGGAAGTGGCACTCTCTATCTTGCGCCAAGTTCACACATGAAGTACCCTGGAAACCCACAAGAGTTCTCTATTTTTCCGAATAGCACATTTAACGTACCTGTTAATGATGCTCACCAGGTAAAGAGACGCATAATCTTTTTATGTCTTAAAGCATAAAAAACAAATGGTATAAAAGGAAGGTGGAAATGCGTAGTTAATCAATACAGGTTACACAGAACAGACTTGTTTAATTCTGCAAAATTAGGTCTTTTTTCTGTATTGAAGTCGACAATTCTTATTCTTAGTTCATGACTTTTGAATGGCTGTTTCAGATCGCAAATACTGATGAACGCGAGGATTTGCAAGTACTTGTTATGATTTCTCGCCCTCCAGTCAAAGTGTAAGTTATTCAACTTCTTTCATTCTCCTCCATCTTATGCATTAATATTTAAACTGTATCCGTATTCCTTGTTGGTTGGAGATCATGATTCGAGTGTTCCACCACCATCAAACATCTTTAATGCATTTAGAATGTTACTTGGAGCCCCAAATTTACTGATATAGAAAAGATTTTGGTTATCATCGATCAAGAAAGACATCCCCAGAAAGTGTGATTTCTTGGGCAGTTATGATAGTGTGCCTCAATCTCCGGATATTTCTGCGAGGATATCGGGGTGGGGAGTCCCGTAGAGGTGGATTAACTGATTATTTTTCTCCCCTATGACCATGTTTGAGAAATTCAATAGCTTTTGCAATGCTTTACTTCCATGCTTCATTTCTGTTTCTATTTTTATTTTAATTTATGATTACTGAGGGATATGTAAATTGTCTACTTGCACTCGCTTTCAGGTTTATATATGCTGACTGGTTTATGCCTCACACTGCGTCAAAACTGAAGTTTCCATATTATTGGGATGAACAATGCCTCCAACCACCACCCCAAAAGGATGAACTATAACATTGAGACGCCTCTTGTGAGGGACTCCAAAACACTGGAAAATATTGATTTCACAGTTATACCTTGACAGAAATTGTACAATTTCAAAGAAAACCTTGGATTGCATTTATTCTGGAATTTTCTTCAACTAAACCTATTTCCATGCCAAATAATAAAATGTGAGAGTTCTTTTTCTTTTTCTTTTTCTATTGGGCAATTGGAGCAACTATTCTTCTACTGCATAATTTGGTTTGGTTGTGACAGTTATTAAATGGGAGTAGATGTTTTATATTCTTTCCCAAAACAAAACACACATATCACATACAATTCCAAAACAGATTAACACCATCTATCTAATTTCCGATGTCTCAATTGGTATCTAACTAATCACATATAGGTGCAAGCATTAGAGTATGAAAAAATCAACTAAAAAGCATTTCAAAATATTCTAAATGATTTAGTAGGATTTGAGCGGAAGTGGTTAAGACTCCTTGCAAGCATACCCAGAACCAGAAAGTAAGACAGCAGAACTGGGAGCATGTTAATGCACGTATTAACTTGGCAAAGAAAACTTTAAGAAAACGTTTTCACTCTTTTCCCCTCCATTTCGTGCATTGTTTGCTAGTTTCATGATTTATTCTTAATTACTGTTTTACAGACCGTGCAACGCATGTCTACAATTTAGCAAATAAACTACAAACCAAATAATGCGATTTCATTTGCAATTTAGCTGTCATAGAGGTAAGTTAAAAAAAAAACAAAACAAAAAAACAAAAAACAAAAAACACCTTTCTAATATAATAAAGTTAGTTAGCTAAACCCAAAAAACAAAAAACAAAAAACAAAAAACAAAAACAAAAACTTGGTTTGCAATCGGGATGCCAAAACGTTCCCATCTCATCATCTCTTCTTTTTGTTCAAGGTTCTCCGTTCAGCCTCTTTCTCAGCAACCAAAACACAAAACTCTGAACCAAGCATTTCATGAACGTCAAGATTCAAAGAACTACTCAAGTTTACCGTCTCTAGTATCACTTCTATAGTAACAATGAAGCCCAAAGTAGACAACACGCGAACTGCATTTGCCGTTCTGCATAGGCTCTGTCTTGTTTCTAATGGGATGGAACTCTGTTCTTGTTCTTCCAGACTAGCCGAATTTCTATCAGATTTGGTGATTTGTTGTTCAGTCTTGTTCACTTGTTCTTCCAACATATCATCTGTGGCTTCGACATGTTCACCAACCCAGATGAATCCATTACAGCCAAGTATCAAATCGATCCCAAACTGTTCTAAATGATGGAAATGTTGCTTCCGTCTCTTCACTAGATAAGGAGGGATTGTGAGCATTTGACCCCTTTTAAGCTGTAATGCGGGATATACATAGTAAAACTTCCGTAGATGCACGTATGATACCAATAAGAACAACAACGATAGGAACAAAAATGTAGGTTGCAATGTCATATTTAACACCATAATAGTGACAATATGTAAGGCCTAAGTCGTACTATGGAACTTAAGCTAGAGAAGAGCAGACTCGTGTAAGATAAATGAAGCAGAATTCAAATTCTAACCAAGACGATAAAAGGAAGTCAACCACAAGAAAATGCACTAGTATGGTCAGGCGCTCCAAAAACAATTAGGGAAGTTAACAGAAGTGAGAATAACACGCCAAATTTTACATTTTGGCCGTTCTAGTGTTCTTAAACTTTTTTATTTAAGGCTAGCTAAACATTTCCTTTCTTTTCAGTTTTTAAATGGTAATTAGAAAAATGGATGAGAAAATGAATGAGACAGACCTTTCCATACTTTTGGCTTCTTGCTTGGAGATGTAAACCATCATGTTGAAAGCCGCGAACTTCAGCCTGAGACCAAAAAAAAAAACAAAAAAAAAACAAAGCCTAGATGTTAAAACGAATTCTCAATAAACTCGATCTTTTTCTACCTTTAGTCCCCCTACTAATTAGTAATTAAGAAGTAAAGGTTTTCAATTAAGCCCGAAATGGATGATAGCAAAACAAACTTACGCAAATAACATCATTCTCTTCAAAAATGCTGCGCATGTTGAGTTCATCTAGAGCAGTTCGGCGCCTCTAGCAATTAAACATGGAGTTTAAATAAGGACTCAGTTTATTGCATTAAGACTAGGGCAACAAGTGTAGCTCATCAAACTACACAGTTAAGAAGAAATAACTTTCTCTCACTTCATCCAAATGGGTTCATTTGCGTAAATGATCACAATGAAAAAACTGATGTCCAATTGACAATATCAGTAACATGTTTTATCCTTTGATTCCTGGAGTGAGATATTGGGTAAAAAAATGAATTTACAAATTTCAATCTTTTTTTTTTTCGTTTTGCTATAAATCTTATAAATTTCAATTACATTCAAAATTAGTGTCCAGTAAGAAGTAAGAACCCATGTGGGCACACACCTTAAAAGCTTTAGTATAAACAATAAATCAGAAAGATAATAATAACTACCATATCTGATCAAAACCACCACAATGGAAAAGATTCTCAATGTTTTATAACAGAAAGCCCGTTACTTTGCCTGCCATGAGTTTAAGCTAACACATAATACCTGGATACCATCAGGTAAGTTCATTGAAGAAAGCATCAAAACTGCATCCTGGCTATAATTTATCTCTATTCTCCAACGCTTGGGAGCAACCTGAATAGAAACTAACCAAATTAGAAAAATAAATAAATAAATAAAGATATATGTCTTGCTATGCAGAGATTGATACGATCTTTGCAAATTCTTATTAGATACAATAACATGAAAAATAATAACAATAATAATAATAATAAGATTCCCAAATGAAAATGAAATAATGAAATATTCAGTTACTAAAACATCCTAAATAAAGAATGCACAATGAGAGAGAGAATTAGATGGAAAGATGGGGCTTTTGAGTTTACCACAACGACACGCCCAACTATGATATCTCCGACCTCTGGCTTGTACCTGGCGCGCAAAGCACGGACGTAGACCAGCTTGTTCACTCGCTCGACGACGCCGCAAACCGTCGCGACAACTTCGCCGTTGAGCTCTGAGGTTCCGTGTCCTCTGAGTTCAGCCACAACATAGTTACTCAGAGATGATTTTTGCAGGCAAAACAAAAGTGATTTTACTGAAAACAAAAACATGATCAAACAAGAAACGAAACGGAGAAAATCCAATTCAAGATTCGAAATTTCAAGAATTTGAGAGAGAGAGAGAGAGAGAGGGGAAAAATGTACTTGAGGACGCCATCTTCGTAGTTGACGGGGATGGAATCAGCGACTGTTACGGAGGCATTGGAATTGACTTTGGAAGACAGAGATTCGAGCTGTTCGAGAGCTCTCTGTAACCGAACCTTCTGGGTCTGGTTCAAGGAAAGCTGTGTCCCTCTCATCCCTCTCTCCATTTCACTCTTCTGTGTAGAGGGATGAGAGAAGGAAAGAAAAGCCCTAAACCCCAGCCTTTGAGTTCTCGCCTCTTGGAACTCTTTTTCTTTTTTTTTTTTTTCTTTTTTTGAAAATTGTTATTTATGGACTTCCGAAATAGCACAAAGCCCACATGGTGGTTAGTAAGCCTGCACTTTGTTGGACTCTTGTGGGACGGGAAGTCCCATCATGTATTTAAAAAAAAAAAAAAAAAAAAAAAAAAAGAGAGAGCGAGAGACAGTAAAAAAAATTAAAAATATATAAAAGATAATAATTATTTTTATGTTACTTTTACGTTAAAACTCATTTATTTACGGAACAAATTCTATATCCTAGTTATTGATCTACTGTTTTTAACAATAACATTATGATTCTAAAAATAAACGAAGAAAAAGTTTGTTTTTGGCAATAAAGGAAGAGAAATATTACTTTCTTATAACTTTCCGTCACTATTTTAAGAGGACGTTTGGTTCATAAATTTAAAATAATAATTTAAAATTATTTTTAATTTACGTGTATTTTTTGAAAGAAAATACTATAATAAATCACAAATTATGATTCAAACTATAGTACGAATTCTCATACCAAACACTCCATAAGAAATTAAGCAGATGAGACAATATGAATAAAAAAACAAAAGGCAACGCATGTTTTCTTTGCTATGCGCAAGTTTAGACACAAAATTACAGTATAGTTCAAACCCTTGATCATTTCCATATTTAAAAAAACACTCACTAATTGGTAAAAATCCTTTGTTTTAAATAATTGGTAAAAATCTTTTTATATGAGCCAAAAAGCTCAATTATTTCCATTAAAAAAAAAACTGAATTATTCCCTTCCAAGACGACCAAAAAAATAAGGAAAAATCAAACGAACAAATATTGCTTAGATAATTTCAAAAAAAAAAATTGCTTTAATAAGTATTATCATTAGCTCAACAAAAATGAATATGGGAGGGGAAAAAAACAAACAATTATACAAAAACTTCCGAATAATTATCCCTTCCTCACAATCCCACCAACCTCCTTTCTTCCATCATTAGTTTCTAACCTCTTCCTAAACCTTCTCTTAATCATTCTAGCAATGGCTTCCCTCTCTTCCTCCTCCACACCAATCTCCGCAGGATGGCCATTCGGAGCTGCCCTCCAGCTCCTCCTATCTCCCTCTTCCTCGGCCTCCTGTCTCTCCTCCTCCCCTCCGCCGCCGCCGTCGTGGCCGTCCGACACGGCGTCGTTTACCACAAACCCTCCACCGACGCTCCCGTCTTCCGAGAAGCCCCGGCATTCCGAAACGGCGACTCCTGCGACCGCGGGCGGATCCACATCGCCATGACTCTCGACTCCAACTACCTCCGAGACACCGTCGCCGCCGTGTCCCCCGTCCTCCAACACTCCGCCTGCCAGGAGAACGTCGAGTTCCACTTCCTCTGGTCGAAATTCGAGCCCGCAGTCTTCTCCGGCGTCAGATCCACCTTCCCCGGCCTCAAATTCGACCTCTAGCGCTTCGACTCGAGCCGCGTCCGCAGCAAGATCTCGAGGTCCGTCTGCAAAAGCCCTAGATCAACCGCTCAAGTACGCAAGGATCTATCTCCCGGAGATGATCCCGGCGGAGGTGAACCGCGTAATCTACCTGCACTCCGATCTCGTGGTCGTCAACGACGTCGCGAAGCTCTGGACCGTCGATCTGGAAGGAAAGGTCCTGGCGGCGCCGGAGTACTGCCATGCGAACTTCACGAAGTACTTCTCCGACCAGTTCTGGTCGGATCCGGCGACGGCGAGGACTTTCGGGGGAAGAAAACCTTGCTACCTCAACACGGGAGTTATGGTGGTGGACGTGGAGAAATGGAGGGAAGGAGAGTTTACGCAGAGGATGGAGTAGTGGTTGCCGCCATTTTTGCTTCTACGATTTGGGGTCTTTGCCGCCATTTTTGCTTGTATTGGCTGGGAAGATAAAAGGGAGTGGATCACAGCTGGAACCAACATGGGCTTGGAGGTGACAATCTGGAGGGCCTGTGTAGGAGTTTGCATCCAGGCCCAATAAGCCTGCTCCACTGGAGTAGGAAAGGGAAGCCCTGGTTGAGGCTGGACTCTAGGAGGCCCTGCTCTGTTGATCATTTGTGGGCCCCCTATGATTTTGTATCGTGTTTCTTCACCCGTTTCTTTTGAAGAATGAGAAATGGAGGTTGGTTGGATTAAATGGTTGCTTTCCACATTTTATACCATTTAATAAATTTTAAAAAAAAAAGATGGATTAAAAATGAGCTTCAAAAGAGGAAAGGAATGTGGAGGATTAATTAATTGGAGAGATGATGGTTATGAAAAATGGGGGAGTTTAAACAATGGAGGGAAGATTAATTTGTAAGAGTTGTTTTGTTGACTAATTGATATGAACATCAACCGCTAGAGGATAGATGGTGCCCCTTGTGTAGAATATAGTAGTTACTGACCACCAGAAGATCCTCTTACCTGAGTTTTCACGTTCCTTTAGCTAAAACAACTATTTATATTCTAAATAATTTGTTACATAATTGTTCCTAAATAGTGTGCGTCCATAATTAACTTGTGAATTCTGAATTAGAACATCAAATGTGCTCGTAACCTGAAAGAATGACATACTATTGCCCCTCAGAATACATAATCATTCATTCTTTACATAGAAGTTCATTCTTTTAGGTCTTGGCTTATTGCATCGTCGCACATATACAATAACATAATTATGCATTAAAACATAAAAAGTGAAAAACAAGATCTAGATGCAATGACAAGCGAAATCAAGCTAAGAAGTCATTATGATGAATTCTAAGAATCACATGAGAAAAAAAAGGGTTCTGAACTTTATTGTATTAATCTTGTTTCCATCAAACTGCTTTAACTTTGAACTTTTTATACATTCCAACTACTTCACTTATTGATGAAACATTAGAAATCTTAAAACATGGTTTAGTAGTGCAAATACTAAAATGTTTTGGTCTCGAACATGTAGTTCCTTCTCATGGCTTCCTTCCTAGTACGGATAAACGCATCAGATTTCTCATTAATATTAACCGCAACATCAAAAAGTGGCCTCACCTGTCTCTTCCTCAAAGAAGGACTTGGTAATGTCATCTCTTCGGTGCTAATTATGCTCTTCCCTTTCATCTTTCTAATTCTCTCTTCCTCTTCTACGTCTCTAACACTAAGCACTTTTGTTGGGACGCTCTCTGGGGCCGTGATCGTCAAAATGGGCTTCTCCTCTTTTGTCTGGGCCTGAACTGAGTTTTCCTCTTCATGTTCCTGAAGTTTGTCGTTTGATGAAAAGTTGTCGTTTTTGATGTAGTGGACTTGAACTTTGAAACCCGAATTGCATTCGTTGTCGTTTAGCTTGGCTGCGACCATGGGAACTGTCGTTGAGGCCTGATGCAGGGAATGGTAAGTGGTCACTCGCTTGAGCCCTCTTGGGATGAGGTTGTTGACAATGAAGCTAAGGAGCCTTTGGCAAATCTTAAGTGGCAACAAAAGTTTGCTCTTATTCTCTTGCATTTTTGTTAACTATTTTGGAGTGATAATAAGAACAACAAGAGAAATATTATGGCTTTTGATTGTCCAAAACCAAACATTTGGATTTATGTGGCGTTCTTTTAAACAGGGTATTGTTGCATTTGTATTATTCCATACTTGTGATGTAGGGTAATAAAAAGGGGGAAGGAGAATTAATGTGACTTTGATGGAAAAAATTCTTTTTCTATTGTAATCTCCAAGATAGATTATGTGAGAAAAGCAAAAGTGGGTCTTTAAGATCAGAATATTATTGTCCCCTAAAAAAAATCTGAATTATATTTTCCAAGTAGTAATGTATTTGATACGACGGCTTCGGTGAGAGAACTAGAATTTGAATTTGCTTCAAGTAATTAGATTCCTAAACAGTTCATCAGCGGGGAAGATTATAACTAATGACACCACAAGGAAACAAGCCATGAAGCCGTCTTTCTATAGATTTGGGCCAGTGGACTGTGGATCTTTAGGCTACATTAGGCATGACATCTAAAAGCAATAATTAATTAGGCACCTAATATTCTTTGGACCAACTTAAGAAGCTACCAAATAAATAAATAAATAAATAAGAACTATAACTTGCCTATGCAGGTAACCGATGCAGATTGCATAAATAATAAATCGACAAAAAGAGCTTTGATGCCATGGAAATTAGCAGCTTTTCTCTGTTGCACACGTAGCAATATACTACGCAAACTTCCCCATTCTGCCGATCAAAGGCTAAGCAAGATGCTATATGTTTTCTTTAAAACAGAAACCTTCCGCATGATCTCTATTACTAGACTTTTAAGTAGGGTTGACAATATGAGTCACGACACGATAATACGACTCGAAAGCGATACGAATTCTGTGGGTTAGGGTTGAGAAAAAAGAGGTTCGGGTCAGAATTGGGTCGACCTGAAATTGACACGAAAAATACGTGTCAATTTCGGGTTGGATCCGCCTAACCCGAACATGACACGAAACTCGTAAAAAACAAAAAAATACATATATTTCTCATTAATATTTTAAATTTTATTATGAACTTGTGATATCATGATAGTTATACTCAAAATCTTATACTATTATTTGCTTAATTTCAATGGATGTTATTATAATTTAGAGTGTTATGAATTTTAAGTTATTTATAATATGTAAAAAACTAAATAAAAGTATACAATTTTCGTGTCAATTTCGGATTCACGGGTCAATTTCGTGTCACGGGTCATTTTCAGGTCGTGTCGTGTCAACTCGTAAAGTGGTCGTGTCGTGTTCGTGTTGCGGTTTTTAAAAAATTTCGTGTCACGGGTCGTGTTCGGATTGACTGTAAATTTTAAAAAAAATGATCAAAACACGACACGTGACACGAATTGTCACCCCTACTTTTAAGGCACAATTTGTTTCGTATACTCAAACTCAAATCATTAATTTAACTACTGTGTTTTTCTCTCACAAAAAATTTGAATTTCAAACTTTAAAATTAATAATCATGATTTGATAATACCTTTCAAACGGACCCTAAACAAACTCAATTGCTTCCCAATGAATTTTGGTGGCAGTTATCATTTTTGAAGTCTAGTTATATATCCTTACTAGTTTTATATCAAAATTAGGTTTGAATTTTCTATGTAAATAGTATATTTCTTAAAAGTAGCACTTATTTTATTTAAAATCTTATCAAAGTACAAAAAAATGTATAAAATCAACATAATCTAATATAGAATGTCATTTAACTGAAACTATTACATATTTAACGATTCAAACTAAAGAATGTAGTAGAATTTTTTTTATTTACGAATATATTATGTTTCTTTTCTTTAAACACAAACGCGAAAGTTGGCAGGAAATTTACAAAACCTTTTTTTTTTTCTTGACAGATTACTCTTTAAACTTTAAGTTTTTGGCAGTTTTAGTTATTGAATTGAGGCTAACATCAATGAAACATTAATGAAATTTAAGAGATAATTGCATTTTTATCATATAATTATTGAAAGTTTTATAAAAAAATAATTATACTAAACGCAAAATATTCTATTCATTGTTGTTATTTGTTAAAACACACTTACAAACTAGAAAATTTTGTATGTAAAATAATTGTTTTTCAACTTTCAATACTAGGATTGTACAGAAAAATCGTAAAACTAAAAATGACAAAAAACGACCACGTAAAAATTGAAAAGGCGGCACCACGTGAAATCGAAGAATTTCGGTTTGGTTAACCAAATCAAACTGCCTTAATGGCGGTTCGGTTTTGGTTATGATCTTAAGGTTCAATTTTAAACCGAACCAAGCCGAAATTATTTTTATTATTTTATTATTTTTTTGGTGGACTAGACGAGAAGTAGAACGACTGAAGTTTTTATTTTTTCCCCTGCCCCTTCTATGCTATCAGAGAAAGAGAAACTTTCTCAGTACTTAGTTAAACTTTCGTTCTCAGTTTCTCAAATTTCCTCAACCAAAAAACCCTAGGCCACCGCCACCATCTCCCCTCCCTCACCTCAATCCTCCGTCATCTCCCTCCGCCATCACCCTCCAAGTGAACTCCGCAGGACTGCCACCTCCCTGTCGCGCCGAGTCTCCATAAGCCACCAGCCCACTAGGTTAGTTTTTTTTTTTCAGATTTAGTTTTTTTCTGACTTTTGTATGTGTTGAGTTTTAGGTTTGTAGTTGTGACATTTTTTTTTAGAAGCAGCTGCTAAAAAAAACTCTCTTGGACAAGGTAGGATTTTCGCTCTAACCAGCCACTACCACTCTTTACAGAAGCATCAAAACTCTCTCTTAGACAACATAGGATTTTCTCTCACATCTCTTACTCTAATTCCTTCCAATTCGGTTTTACGTGCTTTTCTTTTGTGTATTTGACATGGTAGATACCTGTACTTTAAGGTTGAAACTTGAAACCTAAAATTATGCTCCTTTTTCTCTTTCTTTAATGTTGATAACCTGATGATTAACTGATGGCTATCTTCTTAATTACCAAAATTGAAAACAGACAGAAAACCGATTGGAAATCGAAGTTCAGTTAACCGAACCGATTATTCTTTGTGCGGTTTGGTTTCGGTGCGCGGTTTTAAAAAACTGAAATCGTCAGTTTAGTCACCAAACCGACAAAAAATTGCCGGTTTTTACCTGACGAACAACCCTACCAAATACGATTGTTTCTATCCAAATTTAAAAATTCGTAACCTGATGATTAACTGATAGCTATCTTCTTAATTACTAAAATTGAAAACAGACAGAAAACCGATTGGAAATCGAAGTTCAGTTAACCGAACCGATTATTCTTTGTGCGGTTTGGTTTCAGTGCGCAGTTTTAAAAAATTGAAATCGTCAGTTTGGTCACCAAACCGACAAAAAATTGCCGGTTTTTACTCGACGAACAACCCTACCAAATACGATTGTTTCTATCCAAATTTAAAAATTCTTCATCAATTTTAATAGCTGGAACTAAAACTGCTAAAATAATCAAAATTTATGGTGTAATTTATATTAAAAAAAAATGCAGCTCGGGGAGTAAAGTAAAACGATATTCAAAGTTTGGGGACCCAATAAAACCCGGTTCAGCTTAATTCGCCCAACCCGTTCACCTTAATAAGACCGGATTTTGACGATTCACCCGACTGATGCGCACTGCGCCCCAAGTGCACCACCAATTTACTGTGTAAATCTACACGAAAACTTCTTTCTAAAATCTCTCTATCCTTTCAATCCATTCGTCAGTTAGATTCCACAGTTTCCGATCAATTCTAGATCTTCCATGAATTTCTTCAAGTCCGTTTTCTCCGAAGATCCAGATCCTCCGAACTCCGAATCTCCCGACTATCCGCCGAACAAGGATGAGCGCGAAGCCCTAGATCCCGATTCCGGCGCCGGCGGTGCGTGGAGCTTCGGCGGCCTGGTTAAAACCCTAGCGACGAAATCCGAGTCGGTTATCGAGACCTACCGGCGCGATCTTCAGGAGTTCAGTTCGGGGCTGAAGAAGGAGATCGAGGTGGTTCAGGGGTCGTTGGGGACGGTAGGGCACGCCATTGATGAGTTTGGGAACACCGTCGTGAAAGGTACGGCTCAGATCATATCTCAAGGTAAGGATGCAATTCTTGCTGACGATCTTGAATCTGATTCTTCTGATAGCAACAACAATAGTCAAAAACAGAGCTTGAACTCGAAACGGTATTGTAGATTTGACGCTCAGGTTCGCGCAATTCAGGCTGATGCGAGTACTTATTGCGAAGAACCTGAAGATTTGGATGATTATAATATGTGGATATTAGGGTTTGTTTTGGAGGAAAAGATGGAAGAAATTGAGGGATTAATTGAGGAAAATGGGGCAATTGAGAGTATCTACAAGAAGGTTGTTCCCGATAGTGTTGATCACCAAACTTTCTGGTCTAGATATTTCTATAAGATTCATAAGCTTAGGCAAGCTGAGGACTTGAGAGCCAATCTTGTGAAGAGGGCGATTTCGAGGGAGGAAGAGGAGGAGTTGAGTTGGGACGTCGATGATGAAGAAGAAGATGATGAAGAAGAAGAGGAGGAGGAGGGCAATACGAAGTCGAAACCGATTCCCGCGAAGAATGCGGAATTGGGAAGTGAAGGTGGTAAAGTTACAAAAGAGGAATTGCAGAGCAATGACTCCGAGAAGAAGATTGTGAAGGAAGTGAATTCCGCGGAGGAATTGCGAGGTGAAAGTTCTCTAGGTGTTGATGAGAAGGGGAAGAAGAATTCTAATATGGATGATAATGAGAACAACAAAGGGAATGATGGGGAAAATTCTAAACAGGAGAGGAATTTGGAAGGAGATTCTGAGAAAAAATCGGTATTGAAATCTGACGAGAAAGTGGCTTCAGAGGGGAAGGTAGAGCCTGGTGAATCTTCTAAGGATAGTGATGTCACAGATTCAGTGCCTGTCCCTGAAGAGGAAGACCTTGGATGGGATGAGATTGAGGATCTTAGTAGTATTGATGAAAAGAAGGTGACTCATAGTGGAAGTCCGAACAGAGCAGAGCTAAGGAAGCGGCTTAGTGCTGTGGAAGAAGAGGCGGATTTGAGTTGGGATATTGAAGATGATGATGACGATAAACCAACTAAAGGTTGAAACTTTATTGAACGGTTAAGTTTTTATTTTTAAGTGTACTGGTCTCAGTTAAACTTCCCTCCACAGTTGTTTTTATGTAATGGAGTATAATACGGTTGGAGGGTCTTCTTCTTTTCTTTTCTTTTTCTTGCATCAGTTGATTCAAATGCAAATATGTTTCTGTGATCATGTAATGTCAATTTGTGAAGTTAAAAGAAACTCTGTCATTGATGACGTTTCTCTGTTTTTCTTTGTTGTTATTGCTCACTATTCATGTGCAGATTTTTGCATTGATTTGTTTCCGGCATGTGATTTTATTATTTGCAACACCATTAAGAATTCATTACTTTCAAGTTTCAACACGAGGTAGTCTTTAAGTTTTCATGCTTCAATATCGAATCATTTCATTTGGACTAAAACTTCAATGACCAAAAAGCATAATTACATTCTTTACCAAAGGTTTCGTAATTATTCAATAATAGATTTCCGTTTTTTTGGTTTTCTTTTAAGACTTGTATCCAAATACAGAACATTCTCATTTAGATCAATTATCATCAACTATCCTTGTTCTTTTATGCATCAATAATTCATCGCTTGCAAGTTTCAACCTGAGATGTTCTTGATTTTTATACTTTAATGTCCAATAATTTCACTAAAGCCTCACTCTTTCTAACTGTTTCTGGCCCTTTTATCTTTTAAGCTGGTAATAGAGTAGGGCGATCAAATTATAGTTGAAGACATTATTTGTCAGCTTTTTGAGAGTGCTTCTCTAATAGATAGTGAACATGATGGTCAACTTCATATCCTCCGGACTAAATTCAAAGGGTAATCACAGTTCCTATTCAGAAAAATCATAAAGGACAGAGAGAATATCTACATAGGCCCATATAAGCAGAAAATGTCTGCTTTTAACATATTTTGGAAAGATCGTGAAGTAACCCCAAAGAATCCTAATCATATATGGTCAGTAATGCGCCCGTGTAATTCGTTTAAAGGAATTACTTCAGAAGATATTGATATTTATACTATAGATTCAAGGATAAACAAAAACGTTCAGAAACATCTTATGATGATTGACAGATGAGAGAATCCAAGAACCAACTTTTGACATCAAATCTTCGTTGCGAAAATCCATGCAGCTAGCTCCCGAAGAAACAAAAGCCTGAATGAATACGTATCCCAGGAGATAGACCCCACTTTTGATTGCTTTTCTAGTGGTCTTGAAAACACCAATTATATGACATGACTAAAGTGAAGCAAGGACTACAAACTTAGAGAAGAAAAGTTGCTTGGAAGACAGGGAACTCTAAGAAACGTGACATTTGATCTAGTTGTTATTCAGTTTTCAAGGAAAGAAGGTTGTTATTCTGTTTCAAGAAAAAACTTGATAGACTTCAGTGTGCTAGTTATTTGGACAGGTGGTATTGTTTGTAATATCAGTCAAATTTCTCCACATATGAATGTCTGTACTTTAGAGTTTTCTGAGGCTGTTCTTCATCTTCTTCATTTTTTTTTTGGACACACAAGACGAAGAACAGTCAAAGGGTTACCAAAGTTTCGTGTCAATTTTTTTCTTTTGACTAGGATTATATTATTTGCAACCGTTGATAATTCAGTACTTGCAAGTTTCAACCTGTGGTGGGGTAAGTTTTCATGCTTGGAATTGAGATCATTTCAGTTGAATTAAAACTTCAACTACCCAAAAGCATGATTCCAATGTTTGTCAAAGGTTTCGTAATTATTCAAAGATATATTTCCGTTTGATGGCCTTCTTCAAGGAATATAGATGTATCCAAGTGTAGAAGAAAATTCTCAAAGAGGATAAATTATCCCTGTCCTTCTATGCATATTAATAATTCATTACTTGCAAGTTTCAGTATGTGATAGTCTTGGTTTTCTTAGATTGTTGTCCAATTATTTCATCATTTTGTTTAGAATAAAACCTGAACAACTCAATACCATAATACCATTCTTTACTACAGCATTCAGAATTTTATTCAATAATCAATGTTTTTGTCTCTGTTTCATAGTCTTCTTGTAAAAATGTAAATACATCCAAATGTAGAGCATAGCATTGTCATGCAGATTAATTGTCCTTTGTTTTTTTTTTTTTTTTTTTGGGTGCATTATTTCAAAATCAAGATAGGCATGTAACAGATAACTCTGATGCATATTAAATGCGAAGAGAACAAAATATCCTAGACCTGCCTTTCGTCATTGATACCGCCGTTGTCCATTGATTCGAGTGTTTTCTGATTTGTAGATCACATTCATGAATGTCTGCAATCAATTTACAGCAAGCACTTTCTACCCACTTAACATTTTCTCTCACTACAATGTAAATACAATATGAAAAAGATTAGATTCTCACAACAAGCCTGATTTCCTTTTCGTTGATGTGTTTTGCTCTTACGATACAGAAAAGTACATCTAGAATTCAAATCAGTTGAGGGTGTGGCCGATTTACTAATGAATATTCAGATACGCTGGGCAAAACTAGGAAAATTATCATGTCCAGGAAAAAAGAAAAAAGAAAAAAAAACTGTCTTATGGAAAAAGATTAATATGAAACCAAAGACAAAATTCTTCCCTACTACAATTGAGCTATATAATTTACATTTCCCAAACTTGAAGCTCAAGAGTCGACAACTTTCGAAGCCCTACAGTGATAGACATCCAACAAAAGGTGTAATGACCATCACTAGAACTAAACTTGCTTAAGGAGAAAAAAACAAACAAACAAGCAAAAAAAATAAACAAAAGGACTCTTAAATAGCACCTGGGCTCTCTTTGTTTGTACAACACTAACTCTTCGAGAATAAGTACTAAATGATGCCTCTGCTGATCACATAATTGTATTGGACCCAGGGCCGCCACCAACCGTTTCTTCACACCGACTTTCCATCGACATTATTGATTTTTTCGGAAGTAGTCGACTTATCATCCCCGTGAGCCTCGGGCGAGGATGGCAATGAAAGAAGTCGTCCTCTCTGTGCCCGTGGTGGAAGATGTTTTTGTGGTTTCCGTGAACCCATATTCCAAGGTAAGAAAACTCCAGTTCCATTTCCATTGCAAGGATTTTTGTGAGGACTCAACACCATTGGGCGCACCGGGGCCAGCATGACAACCGGAGCACGGAGGACTCCCCACTCGGGCATCAGATCCATGGAGGACTCGAAGCCAACACCATTTGGCATTCCATATGCGCTTGGTTGCCATACCGTCATGGCACTAGCCGAGGTAGGACTCGTTGGTGCTTGGCATTGGTTTGATTCTAGTCGAACTTTGAAGAACGAAATGCTGACCCTTTTGTTAGGAGACGCACACATGACATGCCTAGCAATGTCACAGCTGTGACCCCTCATGACTAAAAGGGACCTGTAAAAAATCATGAGAAGTTGGTTATGCAACAAAGAATTTCTGAAATAAGAATCAGATTTTGGAAAAGACAAATGTTGTTAGAACTTTAAAAAAATTGGAGAGCATACCCCCCCTTAAGTGAGAGCATAAGAGGGCCCTTGTAGTTTCCATCATTATCACTCACAAGGCTACGCCCAATAGCCATAGTTGATTCAGAGAGGAGCAAAGTAGAGATGGGTTGCTCCAAATGGGGTGGTTTTTGGAATGGATGCGAATGTTCATCCTTAAAAAAAAAAATGAAAACAACAAAAGTAATTTCACTTTCATTTCTGTACAACAGTACAAATTAATGAAAAAGCTAAAAGATCAGATCAGTGAACATTGACACAAACCAAAAATGTAGAATACCTCATCGAAAAAGTTGATGATGCAACCATTCGGCCTTTTGTACTCCGGAATGAGTTTCCACAATATAAGGTGGTTAATGACATTTTCAAGAAGGGCTGGAATTGGTTCTATGTTGCCTACAAATACACAAGTCAAATAAAAAAGTGGCTACTACATTGCTAAAACAAAAGAATTTCCAATATGAAAAAGTCCTCTTGATCTTATCTCTAGATATTAGAAAATGAGTCTTACTTGTTTGATTGTCACCTTCCTCTTTAATCTGTCCAAAAATTGGAATCCCAAACTGAAGCAGCTCTCTCTTGTTTCCCTTCATCTGCTGATTGAATAATATAAACGTATCCCCTGTATTTGTTCAATTATGTTTGATTAGATAGTGATTAAAAAAAAAAAAAAAAACTAGCAACTTGCACTTACAAGGCATAAAATTGGTAAAACAATTTAAGATTTCATGATGTTACATTATGCAATGCAGCATATGGAAGCTGTACTTTGATAAACAAAACAAAAACAAAAAAGAAGAAAAAAATTTACATGTAGCCAACAAATTCACCTGACAATTCTCCATTCTGGCCAGCAGTTCTGAATTCATTAACGAAGTCAATCAATTTGCAAAGCTCCGACTCCGTGAAGATATTCTCAAACAACTTCATTCCTTTCACAACATTCACCTGAAAAAAAAAAAAAAAACGAAGTGTCAATAACAAGTACTCAAGTAGCGTGAGCCCGTTTAGTTCGCTAATTCGAGTTAAGATTAGATTTTACGTGATAGTTTTTTACTATAGTAAAAAAGTTAAATGTGATTGTTTCTGAAAATTTTTTACTGTAGCAAAATTCGAATTGGTGAAGTGAACAGAACCTCATTTCTTCCACGCGCCATATAAAATTAATTTAAATGACAAAAAAAAATAAAAAATAAAATAAAAAACTCGCCATATGCCCTTTGACGTTCTCTTTTGTTGAGAAGCCTTTCGTCAGTTTGATCAGGTCCGGACGTGCCTCGCACTCTTTATGATTGGAGCATATCTCATCATTTTCCGATTTAGCCTGCACTTCCTGAGAACCTGCCCACCAAACAAACCAAAAAAAAACAAAAAACAAAACAAAACAAAAATAACTGTCAATTGATTAATTTAATTATGCATTTGATTAATTTTGATGTGTCAAATTCACAACATTGAAATTCAAGCATTGGGAATTCCTATTTTATATATATTTTTTTAACTTCTTGTTTCGAAATGTAAGTCCACTAGTGTGGGGACAAGCAGGAAGCATGTGTGGTGTCCATCTTCAACAAAGCAAAGCTGTCACTGCCCACTGACCACCACCACACGGGAAAAAACCCAAACTGCCCGACCGAAAAGGAACGACGCCAAAACCGAAAAAACAAACAAAAGCCCATTTCTCTACCCAACTGCGTACAATCTCATCATCTGTGTTTAGTATAAAAAATATACGTAAATTTAAAATAATTTTAAATATAATTTTAAATTTATAAATTAAATGTTCATTAAAATAATTTATTTAAAATACAAAAAAATAAAAAAATAAATAAGTATCTCATACCACATGTCTAATTGTTAAATCAAATCATACATCCTATTCAAAGTAAAAATTTAAAGAACAAATAATTTATAATAGACAATTAGAAAACATAATTATGAGATGTTTAGTTGGAGGATTCAAATTAGAATTTGAATCATGATTCATAGTTCGTTACAGTGTTTTCTCTCACAAAAAATACACATAAATTAAAAATAATTTTAATTATATAATTCTAATACATGAATCAAACGTCTTCTAAGACTATTTGCTGTATTTTTCAGATGTATTGTAGAAATATCAAAATAATAATAATAAACCTTTTTTTTTTTGTCCATCTTCATTGGATCCCCCATCCACCAAAGGACTAGGGAGTTGACCCGGTAACTCGGTCACCGGGTCAGACGAGCCCGTTTCTCCTCCGGTCACAAATATTATTATATAATAAAAAATAAATATAAAGCTAAAAGCATTGTTATTAGCACCCTACGGCCTACAAAACGCCCCACGCCTGATCGAGCCCCATGTGACGTGGGTTGTTGATGGACGGCTCTGATTGAGCGCCGCCTATAAGGAAAGCGACTTGACGACTTAGCAAAGCATTGCATCATGCTGATGGCAATTGGGGTATTTGCTTCTCCCGAAACTAACTGTAATGCCGGCTGCAGCGAAGCCTTTCCTCCGCTTGCATCGAACTTTTCAAAGCCTCCTCTCATATCACTTTTTGAATCTCGGGAAAATATATAATATCAACTGAAAACTCATGGTTAAGATTTTTTTAATTAAGGAAAAAATACAGGTTATGATCTAATGTTGAATTCAAAGTGGAAGAAGATTGGAAAATGGGGAGTTGAATCTTGGATCTGGTATTTGAAAAGATATCTTCATTTACTGTTTATTGTTTGGGAGAACTAAAACAAAATTAATTTCTAACTGAAAATTCTCGGGAACCAAACAGAAAAAAGCTTTTAAACCAAACCAGAGTCTAAAGACCTTTGCTTTCCTTTCAATGTTTCTGAATCAGAACTGATAAATAAAAATTTAAGTAATTTTTCTGCTATAATCACATCACTTCACAGTTCACATTGATCATAGTCGGAAATTTACAAACTGCAGAGAAACATTCAATCAAACCAGAAGAGAAAAGAAAAAAGAAAATCGGAAACTTCCAAACTAATTACAGTCAACGATCCTATTCCCACAATTAAATTTCACCATATCAAGATCAGGCCTTTTTCAATCAAATTTCAGAATATCTTGAAAAAAAAAAAGAAATAAAATCCATACTTACCTGTATCAGTGATCTCACTGTTCAGCGAATCGTTTTCTTCCACAGCCTCCTCGTTATCTGGATATCCATTTTCATCACTTTCCACAACTTTCTCTTCCTCCAAACACAGATTCACTCCCTTGTTGCTCTTTTTCTCTGCTTCACCGGCGACCTTATAACCACCACACTTCTGTTCTACACGCTCCTCTTCCGACACCCTCGCCGGCGCAACACGACAAAGCTCCATAGTGACGTCAGCAATGGTGTGGTATTTCTGCATCTGGAGGACCGGAATCCAGTTCACCCTACGCCGGTGTATCGCCTCGAAGACGCCCTTGTAGATTTCATTGCCGCCGGGGAATTGCCTCAGGTGGCCGCAGAGAGCGTCAATGATCGCGTTGGAAGCCGCGAACTCTCCGCGATACCAAGCGAGCATCGCCTCCTTGGCGAAAGCATCCGGCATCACCGTCACCGGAGTCGGCATCGTCATCGGCACCGACACCATTGTCGCCGGCGATGGCCCCACCAAAGCAGCATGAGTAGCTCGATCGGTTGCTGCGGCCATCACCATGTATCAGATTGTATCGGGAAATATTGATTTTTTTTTCGGCTGAAAGTTCTTTCGGCAAATAGAAGAGAAAGAGAGAGAAATGAATGAAGGCTTTGGGTTTTCACATGGGAGGGGCTTTCTTGAGGCGGGGCTTATATATTCAGCGGCACGTCCGTACATTTTATGGGGTGCACTGTGGTGACGTGGCAATCTGAGGAGGAGGTCTACGTGGCAACAAGAAAGTGAAGGCCTTTTCTTTTCTCTTTTTTTCTTTTTTTTTTTCTCTGTTTTTTTTTTTTTTTTTTAAATCTCAAGTTAGTTCATAGTAGGAGTAGAAGGTGGTTGGTTAGACTTGGAAGAAGCGGAGGAGAAGGTGGCGAAGGCTGAAGGGGGATGGTCGGCGGAAATGACCGAAATAGTCTTGTCGTCAAACTTAGGAGTTTGGTCCAGTGTATTATAATAAATGATTGTTTTATCTGGCACGTGGAGAATTCTCCTGGCGGGCTTTTTCATGCAAAATGAGACAAAAAAAAAAAAAAAGTTAAGAAAAATCTTTTTTTAGTGATATATATATATATATATATATATATATTGCGGTTATTTTCTTGAGTTGGTACTACCCCGTGTCCCGTGATCTGGAGAGTGATTCAAAATGTTTAGGTCAATATTATGATAATTGGTAGTTTTACTAATTTTTTCATTTTTTTTTTGAAAAACCTTTTTTTTCATATTATTATATTATTATGTATGGTGTTACGAGTTTTACTTCAACTCTAGGGGAGAGTTTTTTCAATTAATGTATACATATGTCGAATTTATAAAGGTACATGTTTCACTGTCATGTCTTTAAAGAACAATGCATCAAAATTCATTGGGACTCGAGTATTGAAACCATATAAGTTATTAATTTATAGTTCAAAAGGAGTTGTGAATTGGAGATCACCTTATGGATTATGTTGTATTCGTCTAAAACATGTATATATGCTACAAATATAAACATCTACTGTATTATTGGACAGTTTACGTTAATTAAAATGTAAATGACTTTCCTATTTCCTTAATCCATTATTGAGTATTGTATATATGCATATATAGGGCCCGTTTAGTTCGCAGATTCGAGTTTTAAATTTGAATTGAGATGTGACTTTATGTGAAAGCTTATTACTGTAGTAAAAAAGTTAAATGTGACTGTTTCTGTGAGCTTTTTACTGTAACAAAACTCGAATTCTAAACTCGAATTGGTGAAATAAACGAGACCATAGTGTTGGAAACATGACTTGAAAACCCTTTTTTAAAATATCATTTTGATGCTTAATTTTGAGTAGGATTCACTTTGTGTTAGTGATATTTCAAAATTGTTTTTTTCTGCATTTTAAAATTGTTGAGAGATATAAAGAAAAAGACAAAAAAAACATAATAAAGTATACACTGTCGTATGATGGAAAATATCTTATTGAACAATTATGTAATAGAATATTACTTACATGATTGAAGATATATATAATTTTCCATTAAAGAACAATTGAGCAATAAAATATTTTTTATGACATATTTGTGTATTTGAGAAGTTATTGAAAGGGTTTTTTTTTTTTTTCCCAAGGAAGTAGTGCGAAAAAATCCCTTTAGAATACGAAGAAAAGGGAAATTAGGTAAAAAGAAAGGTATATTCGCAATTTTGACAAGACCAGATACGCAGGCAAATATTAGTGACATGGGATACCCAGATGACGCCATGTGGTGTGGGGTAACCAATAGAATAATATGCTATAATAAAAAAAATATTAAAGAGACGTTTAGTTTATGGATTAGAATTATAAAATTAGAATTATTTTTAATTTATGTGTATTTTTTGTGAGAAAAAATATTATAGCGAATCATGAACTATAATTCGAATCGGGGTACGAATCCCCCAACTAAACAACTCCTAAGTGTCCGTCTAATTTTTTAATTTAAAACTTTAATTTAAATTAAAATATAATTTTATTTGAAAATTTTTTATTATAAAAAAATTAGAGGTAATTATTTATAAAATTTTTTATTATAATAAATTTTAAATTCAAATGTTGAAATGTAGGCTTAAAAAAATAAGTGACTTCTTTGGCTTGCAGACGAGGAAGCCACTTGGCAGCGCACTATTGTTGGCTTGTAGACGAGGAAGCGAAACGTGTGTGGGTCCACCTGGCAGCGTGCTATTGTTGCCTTGCAGACGAGGAAGCGAAGCGTGTGTGGGTCCTACAAACTGAAAGGCCATATGGCAGACGTTGATTGGGTTGTCTTGCACTAAGCACCACCGATGTGCACTGCACACATGCGGAAGATACCACACCATACCCTCTTTAGTTCACTACCACTACCATTCTCAACGCCTACTCCTAGCCGGCTACTTTCCTTTTCGGCTCGGCTCGGCTCGACTCGGCTCATTTTTGCCTTTTTTTCTTTTTTGATAAATAATTAGAGAACCTTTTTTTTTTCCTTTAAAAGAAAAAAAAAAAAAAACTTTTTTAACCTTCCCATTAAAGAGGAAGTGTAAAAGGGCTTTGCTGTCAATCTAGTAGGCAATCTATTTAAAAATGTTCGATTCCTTTTGTTTTTGGCGCAAAAGTTGAAGAAGCTTCCTCAATAGCCAAAAACAAAAGTACAGATACTCCTTGGGTGTGATAACTATGTTTTAGTATTGGAAGCTTAAACTTTAAGATATATGATTATTTTTCGTGAATTAACGTAAAATGATATATATATATATATATATGTGTGTGTGTAGTGTACTTTTGATTCATTATTCGTATCCAAAGTGACCCCTGGCATTTATGTTCTTTCCTATTCAATTGAAACCAACGATTTACTTTAAAATATTTTATCATGATAAGGCTGTTTTGGATTCTTTTAATTAATTTTAAATTGGAACATGAAAGTGAAATACATAGGGATGATATTTCTGATTTTAATAGCGTTTTAATTGTAAAATACACTTTTATGATGCAAAAAAAAAAAAAACACTTCTTTTAAAAAAAAATGGAAAATAAGAAATCAGTAACGTTTTGTTTGGTAGGCGGGAGAGATGAATGAAAGAAGAAGGTTGAAGAGAGAAGTGGAAAGATGTGGTCTCATTCATAGCCTACAAAATTAGATCTTTCTATCAAGAGAAGAATTCAAACAATCTATCATTTTTAAGTTTTAAAAAGACTATTTTACCGTTTAAATAAATTATTAACAAATAATTTAAATAGAACAATAATAATTTAATAAAAATTATCATTTATTTTTTTAAATCTCGTTCTATCATACTAAACATCATGAAGAATTATTATGGGCGCGTTTGGAACTCGTTCTAAAATGATTTTATTTTTTGTATGAAAATGAAAATGAAAACGTTTTCAATTTTAGACATAAATTATTTTTAAAAATGTAATTTATAGTTTTATCAAGAGATTGTTTTCAGTATAAAAAACTCATTAATGTCTCTCTCTCTCTCTTTATACTCGAGAGAAGAAAAAACGAAAAATAAAAAATAAAAAATGACTAAAAGTCAGTATTTATTTCTCTTTCATTTTACACTAAACTAAAAAATCGTTTTCATTTCTGTTTTTTATATTTATTACGTCAAACGCCGTTTAAAAAACGTTTTTATTTTTTCTTTCTCAAAAAATATAAAAAATAAAAACGAAATCAATTCTAAACACAACCTATAATTTTCTCCGCCATTTTCTACTCTTCGTCTCTCCGTTCTTACTACTCCCCGCCCCTTCAATCACAGAGTGTAAAATTTGCTTCCCATTCGATTCGCTAATTCGAGTTGATATGTGATATTGTGTGAAAATTTTTTACTGTAGCAAACAAATTATACATGACTATTTATGAGAACTTTTTACTGTAACAAAACTCAAATTTTAAACTCGAATAAGAGAAGAGGTACGTAAAAGAATCAACCTTTTTTAGTGGGCTACGTAACCTGTCCTTTTCTTTTTCCTAAATACGTGACCCTTCCTTGCATTAACTTTTCCCAAGCTTTCAAAAAAAAAAAGGAGTTTTTTTTTCTAAGGTTCTCTTAGAGACAAGGAAAATCACAAGAAAGCAAAAAACAACCAATATGTGGCTTAATTTGAGAGCAAGCCAAGCTGAGATTAAAAATTTTAAAAAAATACAAAATAAAAAAAAAAGGACCCATAAAAAAAGGGGTCCGATTCCATTGCCCTTTTTTTTAGCTCAAAGTCAAGGTGGCAAATGAGAGGTCCGTGTTAAAAGATGAGTCTCCAAAGCCCCAAAAAGTGTGCCAATTGGATGGAGACCGTCCATGACTTGTACCCACCAACGCAACAACACCCATAAAAAACAGCCTCGTAGAGAGTCAAATTCCATTTCAAAGCTAAATTTCCCGTGTTAAGCCACCAATTAAAACTTTACGTGTTTGTACACCAATCCGCATCAAAGATGACCACAAAAAATGAAATTGGCATATTCTTATTAGGAATCCATTTTTGATGCCCTTGAAGGATGAGAATTTTGGGGTGCATTATTTGTGCTAATGATCTCCTTCAATTATTGTAAATGCTGAGAAATTTGGACCAATCCACTCTTTTATTATGCCTTTCAAGTTCCATCTTCAAGATGATACGGATATGAAAGCATAAAAGGAAAAATTATCCCAAAATACGAATATTGTTATTTCGCCAAAAAAAATGTACATCTAATTAGGAAGGTACTTTAAAAATATTAGAAACCGAACCGATAAGATGCTCATCTCTTTTCATCCAAAGGAAAAGAAAACTCTTTTCTTTGTTCCTCTCTCTCTCTCTCTCTCTCTCTCTCTCTCTCTCTCTCTCTCTCTCTCTCTCTCTCTCTCTCTCTCTCTCTCTCTCTCTCTCTCTCTCTCTCTCCTTGGCCAACTTTATGTGAATTTTGGACGGTAGATAACCACGAGACAACTCAGACACCGAACACTATGGAGTATGGACCATCCAAAAATAGCAAGTTAGTTGTTCCCTTGGCCCCATTCATGGCAGAGCATTAAATTTTCCCGCCTTAAACGTGCCACGTGGATTCATCACAGCCGGCCGTTGAGTAGGGGAAAAGAAGAAAGAAACAATGATGGAAAAAATAGATTCTTTTTGGTATTTGGTCAGGTTAGATGTAAACTGATTAATAGTGAGGTTCTTGAATTGGTAATGTAACAATCCATGTTTTGATTCGATATTCAGACTACGAGGATGTTGGTTTTCTTTGGTTTTTCTTTCTTTCTTTTTTTTTTTTTAGTTAAAAAAAGTTATGGTCCTTTTTTTCTTTTTTTGGTGTGTGACTTTTATGCTATGTTTGGTAAGAAAGAAAGAAAATAAGATAGAAAGAAAATATAGAAGTGATGAAAAATAACAATGATAAAAAAGAAAATTGATTTTCTTTTATGTTAT